ACACCCTATAATCCTTATGATGTGTGTATATAGATATATGTATCTATATATGTGTGTGCGCATAGATATAGATATATGTGTGTATATATACACGTGTGTGTGTATATGTGTGTGTATACGTATATATAGATATGTATGTACATGCATGTGTGTATATCTATATATATGTGTGTGTACACACTTTTCAGAAGGATTATAGGGTGTGTATATAGATATCTATAGATTGATATCTATATATTCTATCTATATATACACACACACACTTTTCAGAAGGATTATAGGGTGTCCTCAGCCCACCTCACCCTGTCCTCATAATTTGGGGGAAGTGTGTATGAAGCCTCTGTCACCCACACTGCTTTTTGGCAGGTGCAGTCACCCCACAGCTTTATTGGTCACCAGACCTCTGGTCAGCACAAACTGCTTTTGCTATCCCTATCTATACAGCATCCAGTTTTTATCACTCCTAGTCTACATAGCCCCTGAGCTTCCTCCTTGCTGTGATTTGGCAGTGCCCACCAGCTTCCCTTATCTGCTGCTTAAAACTCTCAGGAAATTGGCTACACCTACGAGCTGGAAAATCACAGCCTGCGTGAATCTATTTTGCTTGTGATTTATCAGGACGTTACCGTTAATTGGATCAGCTGGATGAGCCCTTGTGATGAATTACTTCCAGTCCATAATCAAAAATTAATTCCGAGCATATAGCTTTCTGTATAAAAGCACAGCCTGCAATGTCCTTTAATACCACACATGCTAAGGGTGGTAGTCTGGTTGTTCTCTGTTCTCTATTGATACAAAACCCAATGCCTTTATGGCCTCTGTTTTTCTCTTGAAGAAAAAAATAGAGGCCATAAAAGCGTCAGGTTTCATATCAATAGAGGACAGAGTAGCAGAAAATGGGAATGTCCTCTATGATGGCCACCCTAACAGATGCAGAGGGCTGGTACTGACAGATTATTTAGTGTGCCTGCTGGCTAAATCTTTTAAAATTACATGGGATCTGATAGACTGGATCAGAGTTGAGCCTGGCTTTGTCTCTCAGATGGTGGCCAGCACCAGCTGCTTGGAGGAAGATATAAGGATGCTGCAGTGGGTTAATGTCGTAATCTGCCTCCCACAGGTCTTATCCTGATTTATCATGGAGATTAGCAGGACCCACAATCATTAAATTAAATGTACTGTAATTTTTTTTTTGCTGCCATTATTGAGGTTTTGGATTAACTCAATAGTCCAGGTATTTATACAATTATCTAATCATTTTTTAAGTTTGTTAAATTCTTTCCCTCAATTGCTGTGGGAATGAGTTCTATAGTTTATGCTTTGTGAGAGGAATATATTTTATTGGTTTTGAATTTCCCTTCTTTTAGGGTCCCCACTTACAACACATGCAGAGAGCTCTCTGCACTGGCATTCAGGAGATCTCAGTTCCAAGTCACAGCTCTGCTGACAGCCTGCTGGGTAAGTCACGGCACCTCTTTTGTGCCTCAGCTACACAACCTGTGAAATTGGCACTGTGATATCAAGCTGTTTCATAATGCTGCTTTGAGTTTTCCAGATGCTATGTTAGAATTAGGCACTATTATTAGTTTGGCTTATATTTAATCAGCAAACAACAAGCTCACGTTAAATGGCGAAAGAGATAAAATTTGAAAATCTGAGGTTAGATAGCTTTTATGTGATGATTGGTTAAAACATGTCATGATCTATGCACTCTTTAGTCTGGTTGTGCTTTGCTTTGAAGGCCCAACCAACACAATTCTCTGGCTTTCAGGCACTCGGCTACCTTATCCTGGCATTCTAAGATTTTTTACATTGCTAAGAAATGGAATTTCATGTAGGAAGTTCCTTTATTACTGGTGACATCCCTGTAATAATTCTCCAAACAGTTGAGCATATGTGTAACTTTATGCCACTGAGCAATCCCGTTGGCTTTAATAGGATTACACAGGTATGTAAATGCATGGAAGAGTGGGGCATTAAAAGTGAGAGATTTAAAAAAAATGCAACTCACTTGCCATTATTTACACTCATTACAGATTTAGCATCTGTCTCTCAGCTGGGCAGTGTAAAAAATCTATTTTGAGTTTATTTATAATTTGAATGTGTTTTCAGGTTTAGTGCTATCAAGTTGGGGTTGCAAACAAAGTACTCTTTAAATGGAATTTATCCCATTGGAACCAATAGGAATAAAATAGAACAGCTGCTGCTTGTCTGCCTTTTCATTAAAAAAAAAAAAAGAAAAGAAAAAAGCCTGTCTACATTTTGAGTCCAATACAAGTTAACTGTGTGCCATTTTTACAGCTACAACAGCTTGCTTTTGGCTGTTACTGGTGTATTTGCTACCATCTAATGGAAGAATTGAAAAATAGCAACCTTAAATGATTTCATTTCCTTTTGCAAGCGAATAAAAAGTTGCTGACCAGTAATAGGACTGAAGAAAGAAAAAGCGCCATCTGCTGTGCGTAGTACAAACACAGTTTAGGATGAGGGAAAGCTCTGGTGGATAGCTTTTGGCTGTGTGTAGCTGCACAGCTCTCCACAGAGTGTAGAATACAAATATGCAGCCTTAAGGGTTCTGTGAATTGAATGGATGGTCTGTTTTGGTTGATGTATATATTGAGGACTTGTTGCTTTCATTGCTGAATGGGATTTCAAATCTATTTAAGTCTACACTGTAGGAGGCAGTGGTAATCTATTATTATATACCTGTAATTTTAAATAAATTAGAATCGTGATTAATCCAAATGTGTCAATGAACTTGTCAGTGAAATCACTAAAACACCAGAGCTCTTAGCATGAAAGATCTGATTCTTAGTCTTCTACCATTTTAATTATAAAGTTGTGCCATAGCTTGCAAACTGCACTACCTCAGCTATCACTTCTTATGATTTCATATCATTTCTTCCTTTCATGATCTGCCTTTGTCTCCATTTGCTGGTCAGCTTCAGGTGAGATCTTTCTGGTCTTGTTCTGATCTGGTTCTGTCACGGTTGTTCTTTCCCAAAGATAAGAAAGCAAACTACTGGGCTTTGAGAACCTGAAGAACTCAGTCCAAGTCACTGGGCAAAGGATAACCCCACTCATGCTACTGCCAGAACATTACCTATGGTCAGCGGGGGCTGGTTTATACACCATTTTTGTATCACTGGGCATGTCTACACGTGCATTTATGCCAGCTTAAAGTTACAACGCAGTAAGCAGGAATAGGCCAGTGTGTACATGTGCAGGCATTAAAGTGCATTAATGCTGCGTGTGGACTGATTTTGGACTAAAATTAGTCTCAAGCCAGTCCATGCACATAATGTTACTGCGCAGTAAGACATCTACATGTGCATTACTGCGCAGTAAGTAATCAGGCATAAATTTGATACCTGCATCATGCAGGTATCAAATTTACATTCAAGTTGGAGCAAGTTGCCGTATTTACTGTGTAGTACGGGCGTGCCCATGTAGCTGCACCCATACTGCGCAGTAAATGTGCAAGTTTAGATGCACCTGCTGTAAATATATTGGCTGTGTTCCCCAATAGCGACAACAAATGCATGAATCCAGTTAATTCCTCCCCACCCAATGTGCAAAGCTGACATCATTCACCTGGTTGATAGAGTTATGAATAGCACACATGCTCCAATTGAAAGAGAGAAGTAGAACCAGACTCATATTGAAATTCACCTTATTTATGGTGGTGTTGAAATATTACTCATTGTGACTATCTATCTTCCTTCAGCTGCACAATGAACCCACACCTAGCTAAATCATCTAGGCTGCACCACAATAGAAACATTAAATAACAATAACAAAAACACACCCATCTGAGCTAGATCCTTTACCACAGTCTCAGGCACTGAAATTGTAACTTCCAGCCCTTCACCAGATTTTACTTAAAGATGTATTTTTAAAAACAAAGATCAACAAGTACAAAACACACTTCACAAATAAAAACAAAGCAAGGGTGTTTATACATGCAGTTTACAACATCTGGATTTCCCTTTCCCTGGCTTGTTATAATGGAATAAGCCCTTGCTTCTTAGAGTGCACTTCATTCAAAATAATTCAGTTGCTCTTCATCCCAAAGTACTTTTTATTATTTATCCTGTGGCTTCTATCAATTTTTCTGTGCATTTCTTATTGTAGTTTTTAATAGCAATTTTATACAGAGAAAGTGATCCTTTCTTACTTGCAGGCATAGTAAAACATGAAAGGCAGGCAAAAACAAAATTAGATGTACAGGTGAAGAAATTTAAACTGATAGTATACTTTAGAAAGTGCAATCTGAAAAGAAATAACTGTAAAATGAGTTCATGGTCTGCTGTACATTCTCTGTCTATTGATTTGGAATCACATTTTCTCAGTTTACAAATTGAGAGTGAAACTTGCCACCAGACAGAGGCCTAAGCACCGTTAACCACTGTTCTACAGCTCCTGGTGATAACACAGGCCTTGTGTTGGCCCTGTGTGCTGAGTTGAATTTCACCCTCAAAGGTTTTTGCTCTTTGCTGATTCCAGTAACTCATCTAAGGCTCTGAAAAATTGGCTAGGTCCTTTGTGCTTTTTGCATCATCAGTTGCAGAGAAGGATCACAGTTTTGATCTCTTAATTAGGAAACATCAGTTCTTTCATTAACACATTAAGCACTTAGATACTCTGGAGATGGGCAATAATAGCAGTTGATTAGACATGAATGAGACAGATTCAGAACAGATTGCAGCCCACTCCCTCATAACTGCTTTTGCTTTGCAGTGCCTGAGGGGAAATCAGTAAGGTCAGACACAGAGATGGTTAAGATGAAGCTATTTGTATGCTTTCTGGCTGTAATAGTATGCATAGACCACGGCAGGGGTCCTGTTGGTCACCCACAACAGCCTCTTTTTTTCTGGGGAGGTGCTGGTACCTCCGCTGCCTCATTTTTTAATTTGTCTTCTTGATCTTTTAGCAACCTAGGATAATAAATACAAAACAAATTAGCCCGCTAATTGTTCAGCATTATTGTCTACATGTGACTTGATGCAAGTTGGTCTTTACAATGTTCCCACATGGTGTTAGGTGCCCAAATCCATTGAACAAGCCAGGCATTGTCATCCATCTCTGAAAATGCTGATAGAGTTTAGGGCTAAGGCAGGGGTCAGCAACCCCTGGCATGCATGCCGAGCATGGCACCCAAAGCCATTTTCCTTGGCACACCACCACCAGTTCAGGCTCTAAGCAGCTGCTGCCAGCCACGGAGCCCAAGCTGCTCCCAGCAGGCAACTTGGAGGCTGCAAGCAGACTGGGCTCCTTGGGCTGGCTACAGCTGGGAGGCTGCAAACAGCTGCTCCAGGCTCTGGCATGTCAGCACTGGCACCTTCCAAGGTAGACATTGCGGGTTTTTTTGGCACTCTGGCCAAAAAACATTGCCTACCGCTTGTGCTAAGGTGTTCAAAGGGGCTGAAGAGAGTTGCTTGGAGAATGTGTAAGATATGGCCGCTGAGGGAAGGAATTTGGGTGAGAATTCCAGCCTAAATCAAGCCACATCCAGAATGAATCTGGCCTCCTTGATCAAGCCACAGCAAAATTAGCAGCATCCTGTAGATTGAGGCCTAAGATCAGAGGGGCATGGAACAAAGCATAATATCCAACAATGGTAGGTAGAGCAATGCCTGATTTACAGTTTCCAACTTATCTGAGAGAAGAACAAATAGTTGAAGTCCTTGGCACCCTCCCACAGTCCTACTCTATGGTGGGGGGAAGCAGATTGGGCTGGCAACATCTGGAAGACCCACTGGAAGTTTCTAGTAGCCAGTCCTAAAGCTAATGTGGATCTAGGCCCAGTATGCTCTGTTCTACCCCACCATCCAATAATTTGTTCTCAGCAGAAGCTACACATATTGCTTCAGAGCTGTGATGCTAGATATTCAAGGTCTGTGTCGTGTGCTGCCATTTCATAGATGTGCCCATTCATGATGTTTGATCTCTGAACTTGTAGCCAATTCTTAGCTGTTAAGAATGGGCATAGTCCCAGCTAACTGACATCAGCAAGGTATGTGCATGGTGGGGGCGGTGGGAGAGTGCTGAGTTTTCTACAGAATGTGGAGCCAAGCAGCTTTCAGCTGTAGGTGAACTGTCAGCGTTCACAAGTTGAAGACGTATGAAAAGTGTGAGCCAACCCATTCACTTCTGCACAGCTGACAAGCCCAAAGCACACTGCTCACCTGGCTAAGGCAACCATGGATTCGCAGACATTGTGGCCTGAGGCAGCACTGCATTCATAGAACGAGAGATGATTTTCCTGAAGGATACAAGAGGCCATGCACAAATTAACTTGCCATATACATCTATTTGATAGTTTCAAACCACAGGTTGGATGGATGTAAAACAACCTGAGCATTTCCCTCTCTCCTATTAAGCATGAAAAGAGAAAGACGACAGTGCATTTAGAAAGATAACATTATTTAAATGGGACTAAAAAGGCACAACTTTCATGGGCAAAGGACTAATAATTACACAGAGGCAGACAGTGATGGAAATGTAGTTGGAAATGCATGGCCTAGAAGGTGCTGCTGCTACTGTGAAGGAGAATTTATACATGAATAAAAATCTGTGTCAAGAGCCTATTAGCTTGTAGGACTGTTGAGAATACAACTAGCTTCCTCAGCAGCTACAACGTTAGTCTTTCACTGCAGGGAAGAGATGTTTAGCATGAAGCAGACATACGTAGAAAGAGGCAGCATGGTTAGACCACTGGACATTGGAGTTTTCAGCTGAAAATTCCCAAATTCTATTTCTGGTTCTGCTAGTGACTTGCTCTGCATCCTTGAGCCCTTCTGCCCCATTCTGCCCACCTGCAAAATGGGGAGAAGGACACTTGCCTGTTCTATGGACTGTCACCAGAATGAATGCTTGGGACAGCACCTTGACAATATAAAGCAGTAAGTTCCCTGTAAAGTATCCTGAACTGGTATTGCTTGAGGTTTCTATTATGCATCTGGCAGTGAGACAAGCATGATGCCTTACAGTGGGAAGAAGCTCAGATTCCTTGTGTCAAGACTTTTACCACCTAGGGCCCCATCTGGGGCTCAAGGTAGGAGCCTCATATTGCAGCTTGTAGAATCAGGGCCTAAGTTAACAGTGAGAACAGCAAGAAGCGATAAACACACAAGCAGGGGAAGGCGACAATATTATATGGTCAGTTCCTGGCAAATGATGAATAATGCGTTAAAGGTTTTCGGCTTTGCCACAGCTCCCAGCTGGTCGTAAAATGTTTAGAAACACTCATCCTTTCAGCCATCTTTGCTTAATTATAGCCTTGGGTTTGCTTTATTCTTTTAACCATTAAACTAAGTATGAAGAAGGAATTTAAACTGATGGCAAACTCTAACAAGCCCATGCACGTACCTTTGCCAAGCGTTGACCTTGTTCAGTAGACACTTGTCTGTCTGCAGTACAGTCTATTTTGTTACCAAGCAGAAGGATAACAACCTTATCTTCCGCACCTTCCTGTAAAGGAGGACACATGGGTTGAAATCTTGGCTCCAGAGAATGTTTTTCACTGATTCCAATAGGCCAGTTTCATCCATTATCTGTTCAAATGATAACTAAGAAATAATGTCTAAATATGTTCAGAAAATGCTTAGGGTGACCCCAGTGTCTTCCATGGATTTAAGCAATAGTATAAATAGATTCATGGCTTTTAAGGCCAGAAGAGGGACCATTAGATCATCTGGTTTAATCTCCTGTATAGCACAGACCAGAGGATTTCACCTAGGTATCCTGCAGGAAGCCAAATAACTTGTTTTACTGAAGTTCATCTTCCAGAAAGGCACCTGGTCTTGTTATGAAGACGTCACATCCTGAGAAATCTGCTTCCCTTTTTGGTTCGATCTTAGTAGTATAATACTAACTGTAGAGTTGGCTGAAAATTTTGTTTAAAAAAAAAAAAAGCTTACCAAAACAATTAATTTATTTCCATTTTTCAGGGTTTAGTGCAGAAATGTTTTATTTTTTTGAATTTAGGCCTCATGTTCAAATAATCTTGAAATTATTTCCCAATTCTTTTTATTTCCCCAACACATTTGTGATAAAGAAAAAATATTGATAACTCCATTGATAATGGTTTCAATGAACAATATTAGAAACTGGTGTGAAAAAAATAAAAGTGACTGAAAGGTTGATTATTTTTGCCAAAAGTAATTATAAACCAAAATTCAATGAAAAAAAATATTTGAGACATTCCTACTTGTTCTAATTGTAGCCAGTTCTACACAAAAGTAAGGCTCTGACCCCACTTCACTATTAAAGGCCCTTTTCTTCAGAAGAATAAGGGTATTAACAGTTTAATGCTATAGAGAACACTTACCTCACATCCTCTGTATCTTCTCCAGAAAAAAACAAAGTCAGTTTGGCCCTTAGATTCACCAACCTGTTTCCTACCAGTTCCAATAGTAGCAGTAAATAGATATCTAAAGGCAAAATGTAGCTGATGCTTTTTTAGTATTGTGGTGTGATGCCTGAAGTAATGATCAGACACCGAGGAGACAAGGGTTCTATTCCCAGCTTCAGCACTAATCCTCTAGGTAACCTAGGATGTTACCTCTCTTTGCCTCAGTTTCCACACTTGTAAAATGGGAATAATGGTAATTTCAGGGGAGCAGTTATGCTGAATGCATGGTTGCAATGTGCTTGGTAATCTTCAGGGAGAAGGTACTAATAAAGGGCAAAGACTTATTGGATGAAATCCTGGTTGCTTTGTAGTCAGACTTCAGAACTGATTTTAGTAAAACCAAGATTTCACTCACTTTACCTACCTGGATACAATTCAGCCAGTACCGCACATCTGCAAAGGAGTATTCTGAAGTGACATCATACATCAATACCACTCCATCAGCTTTTCTGTAGAACTGCTTGGTGATGCTATGATACCTGTTATAAAGCACTCTTAGTTTTTATGCTGCTCTGTGGACCTCTTTTGCAACATTTAAGACAGAAAAATGGAAGTTGAAAAAAGCAGCAAACATATTTCATGTAGGACTGTGCAATATCAATTACAGTAGCAAAATAAAAAAATGCAAATGTGCATAAATATGCAAATACACATGTTTGCGAGGTCTTGAAGCAAACTTAGATGTTGCAAATTTGGCAACGGTAAAATTTAGGAGCATCATGCACAACCTCAAGGGTTCATATGTACATGAACATATAGACTGACAATTTTTTTTAATATGTCTGTCTATACATGTACTTATATTAATACACATACATGCATGTCTGGGTATGTATGTGTATACAGAAGTACCTGTATAAAATACTTTTATTTATACCACATACATGCACAAACACATATATTATACATATCAGCATATTTGGGATTAAGTCCTGGCCTCTCCGACGTGAACAGGGGTTTGCTTTTATTTCGGTGATGCATAGATTTGGCAGTTAGTACTCATTTGAAGCATCGTATTGACAACTCTGTGTTTTATCTGATCCATCTCCTGTCAGTTGTCTCACATAAGCATCTATTCTTTTTATGTGCAACTTCCTTCATTCACAGTACCCCATGAGGATATTGTGAATGAAGAGGGTTAAATAACAGGAAATTTATATAAGAAGAGGACTTTTTTTTTTTACCATATGTAACTTTTTCATACATATAGCATTGGACCTTACCTTTCTTGACCAGCCGAGTCCCACAGGCGCAGAGCAAAGCACTTCTCATCCACAAAAAGGTTTTTGACCCGATAATCCAATCCTAGTGCATGCAATGAAGTCATTTGTAAAGCAGCAGAATCCAAATGAAGTAGAGTGTGCAGGTCTGTAAGATCTACAGAGTCCACCAAACTACACACTTTGCCATAGCTATCCAGCTAAAGGTAGGAAGAGATTACTTCCTTTTTCCCCCTTCCCAGCCAACCCAGCTATGCTGACAAGTGCTTTTGTTGCCTTTTCTTATATGGTTCTCCAGTGGGTATACCAGCAGAGAGAAAACACCCTTCTGCTGGCATTTGCTACATCTCCACTAGAGGTCTCTGCCAACATGGCAATAACATGGAGGCTCTTTAGTGTGGACAGTCCCTGGGTGCAGAAATCTCAGAGTGAAATTCCCTTGTCTGTGGTGATCACAATGGTTCACCTGCCTTGCAGTTGAATTGTGAGTGGGTTTTAGGGACTGCTTCATTCTGGTGATAAAACGGGTCCAATCATTAAGATAATACAGGCAGTTTGAGGAGGTGGGTCATTGGAACACAGCCTACAGAACTAGAACAGACCAGCCATGTCATAATCCTATTGATAAATTTATCAAGCTCCATTTTAAAACCAGGTAGGATTTTTGTTCTTCCTGGCCCTACTGGAATAGACTTGCTTCCTTTTGTGTACTGGTGCACAAACCCAAATTATTGTCCCTCTTCTCAGCATGCCATAATGGGCCAGACATTATATATGAATTATTTATTTAGGCCTCAATCCTGTGGTCTGGTCCAGACTGACAGGACCTCACATGAAGAGCAGCTTCAGGACTTGAGGTTGTTAGAAAAAATACACCTAAACTCAAGGCATATGTATAAAAATCTATTTTAAAATACATAGGGGCTGGTGGTCTCTCACCTGCCTTTCAGGCAGTGTTAGCCACTGCAAGATTAGATCTGGTAGAGCACTTCCCCATACAGGTTACATCCCATGATGGACAGTGTGTGTTCTTATTGGAAGCTGAGAGATTCCTACCTACGGTAGCAGTCAGGCGTGGATTGAAGAAATCGTCATGTAGCCGGTACAGAAAGGAAGTTTTGCCAACATTGGAGTCCCCCACAAACAATACATTATAAAGATGGTCTGGATCAGGGCCAGGGTCTTTGATGAAGTCTTCTGCTGGACTCTTTTGGGACTCTCCTGGTTCAGGGCTCACTGCCTTGTTCACATCAACACTGAGTTCTTGTTTCGTTTCCATTGCATCTTCTTTGGTTTCTTCTGCTTTAGGTTTCCTAGGGCTGTGGGACAGACTCTCAGCCATGTGTACATCCCCAAACAGGCTGTCTCTGAGAATCCTTCGCTCAAGGTTAGTCTCAATATGTTCCATGTGTAGCATCTCCATGAGAGAGGAATAGTTTTGTGGAACCTCCTGTTTCTCTGGCTCTTTATGCTCAAGGGTCATGTTCTCTGGTACCTTTGCTGTGGGAGGATTCTCCTCTGGCACTGCCTGCTCAGAACTAGCAGCTGTCTTCACATCTGGAACAAGCCCATCCTTCTGCATTGGTGCCTGCTTCTGAACTTCCTCTTGTATCACCTGGTCTGAAACATCAGGAGGCTGCACATCTGGAATGAGAACATCCTCTTGCATCAGTAGTCCTTCCTGAAGCATGCTGGCTTGCAGGGGCAGCTCTGAAGCAGCAGGGGCCTGCACATCTGCATCAACAATCTTTCCCTGCATTGGATCTAGTGCCTGCACCTCACATGGGGGCAGTACATTTGCATAAGAGGTCTTCCCCAGCATTAATTCTAGTATCTCAGCTTCAGACCAGAGAGATGCATCTGCTTCATGCTGAGCTCTGTGCATTATATCTAATAAAGATTCCTCATCCAAGCACTTCACACCCACACTGACGCTCTCTCCTTGTGCTAGTTCTGGTGCCTCAGCCCTATCCAGGTGCTGCACATGTGCATCAGCACTCTTGCCCTGTGCTGTTTCAAGTTCTTGAGCCTTCTCTGCCCATGGCTCATCCACATCAGCTTCCTCGCCCTTCCTCACTTCAAGTATCTTGGTCTTATCCAGGGACCACACCTCTACACCAGTACTCTCTCCTTTCATTGCTCCTAGTACCAGAGCCTCATCTCGGGGCCACAGTTGTGCCATAACAAGACCTCCTTGGGATACTTTTAGTACCTGTGCCTTATCCAGATGCTGCACATCTGCATTGTCTCCCTCTGTCAGGTGCTCTTTGTCTATATCAACTCTCTCTCCCTGCATTGATTCTACTGTTTCAGTCTCAGCCATGTGTGGCATGTCTATAGCCATGTTTTGTCCATCTGTATCAACACCCTCTCCCTGTGCTACTGCTACTAATTGGGCCTCAGCCAGATGTTCCATATCTACCTTAGGACTTCCTGCCAGTGTTGCTTCTAACAGTTGCACTGCCTCCAGGTGCTGCTCATCTGCATCAGCACCCTTGCCATGCATGGCTTTAAGGTCTTGAGGCTCCACCAGGTGCAGCCTCCCCTCATCAACTCCCTCACCCTTCATCACTTCCAGCATCTCAGCCTTATCCAGGGACCACACCTCTGTGTCAGTGGTCTCCCCCTGCATTTGTCCTAGTACCAGAGCCTCATCCTGGGGCCACAGTTCTGCCATAACAAGATCTCCCTGTGATTCTTCTGGTACATGAACCTTAACCAGGTGCTGCACATTGTTATCGTCTCTCTCTCCCTTCATCACACCTAGTGTTAGAAAGTCATTCAGGTGCTCTTTGTCTATATCAACTCTCTCTCCCTGCATTGATCCTGCTGTTTCTGTCTCAGCCAGGTGTGGCATGTCTACATCCCCTCTCTCGCTGGTTGTTATTTCTAGTGACTCATCTGTGTCAGCATGCTCCCCCTGGGTTACTTCTAGGAACTGAGCTTCATCAAGGATTTGCATACCTGTATCCTCTCTCTCTCTGGGAATAACACCAAGCTTTATACCCTCTTCAAGCTGTTGCATAACTGCATGCTCTCTCCCACCTGCTGTTATTTCTACCATCATATCTTCACCCAGATGCTCTGTGTCTGCACCCCTTGTTTCTTCTTGTTCCAGAGTCTCATTGTAGGGCAGCATATCTGCTTCCACACTCTTCTGCTGGGCTCCTCTTAATGCCTGCCCCTCCTCTAGGGACTGCACATCTCTTTTTGCACCTGCACTTTCCTCCTCTGTAACTTGTAATAGATGAGCCTCACTCAGGGTCTGCACAGCTGTACTAATGCTCTCTCTCTGTGGTACTGTCAATGACCAGGCCTCATCCAGATATTCCATATCTGCATCAATCTCCTCTCCCTCTTGTACATCTAACATTTGGGCCTTATCAAAGCTTGGCAGATCTGAATCAGCAGTTTCTCCCTTTGATATTTCTACTGTCTCAGCCCTATCCAGGTGTTGTCCATCTGTATCAACACCCTCCCCCTGTGCTACTGCCACTAACTTGGCCTCATCCAGATGTTCCATGTATACCTTAGTGCTCCCTGCCTGTGTTATGTCTAACATTGCCACTGCCTCCAGGTCCTGCACATCTGCATCAGCACCCTTACCCTGCAGTGTTTCAGGTTCTTGAGGCTCCATCAGTTGCTTCCTCCCCTCCTCAACTCCCTCACCCTTCATCACTTTCACTATCTCAGCCTTATCCAGGGACCACACCTCTGCACCAGTGATCTCCCCCTGCATTGCTCCTAGTACCAGAGCCTCATTCTTGTCCCACAACTCTGCCATAACAAGATCTCCCTGCGATACTTCTGGTACCTGAGCCTTATCCAGATACTGCACATCTGCATCATCTCTCTTTTCCTTTGCCATGCCTAGTGCTACAACCGCATCCAGGTGCTCCAATTCTATATCAACACTCTCTCCCGACATTGCTTCTACTGCGTCTAACTCATCCTGGTGTGGGATGTCTGTATCCTTTCGCTCTCCTTTCATTAACTCTAGTAACTCAGCCTCATCCAAGTGTTGCACATCTGTCTCAACATGCGCCCCCAGTGATTCTTCTAGGACCTGAGCCTCATCAAGGGCCTGCATCCCTGCATCCTCTGTCTCTCTGGGAATCACATGAAGCTTGTTAGCTTCTCCCAGCTGTTGCATAACTGCATCCTCTCTCTCTCCTGTTGTTACTTCTATTATTACAGCTTCACTCAGACACTCCCCATCTGCAACCCTAGTTTTGCCCTGTGATTCTTTTTGTTCCTGATCCTCAGCACAGATCAGAATATCTGCTCCTGCACTCTCTTCCTGGGTTCCTCTTAATGCCTCCTCTTCCTCCAGGGACTGCATGTTTCTTTCTGTGCCTGCACCTTCCTCCTGTGTAACTTGTAATAGCTGAGCCTCACTCAGGATCTGCACAGCTGCACTAATGCCCTCTCCCTGTGGTACTGTCAATGACCAGGTCTCATCCAGATGTTCCATAACTGCATCAGTCTCCTCTCCTTCTCGTAGGTCTAACATTAGGGCCTTATCCAAGCATAGCAGATCTGCATCAGTACTTGTTCTTTTTGGCATTTCTACTGTCTGAGCAATATCCCTGTTTTGTCCATCTGTATCAACACCCTCTCCCTGTGCTACTGCTACTAATTGGGCCTCAGCCAGATGTTCCATATCTACCTTAGGACTTCCTGCCAGTGTTGCTTCTAACAGTTGCACTGCCTCCAGGTGCTGCTCATCTGCATCAGCACCCTTGCCATGCATGGCTTTAAGGTCTTGAGGCTCCACCAGGTGCAGCCTCCCCTCATCAACTCCCTCACCCTTCATCACTTCCAGCATCTCAGCCTTATCCAGGGACCACACCTCTGTGTCAGTGGTCTCCCCCTGCATTTGTCCTAGTACCAGAGCCTCATCCTGGGGCCACAGTTCTGCCATAACAAGATCTCCCTGTGATTCTTCTGGTACCTGAGCCTTAACCAGGTGCTGCACATTTTCATTGTCTCTCTCTCCCTTTGTCAAGCCTGGTGTCAGAAAGTCATTCAGGTGTTGTGTGTCTGTATCAGCTCTCTCTCCCTGCATTGATCCTAGTGCTTCTGTGTCAGCCAGGTGTGGCACTTCTACATCTTTTCTCTCTCCAGTCATTATTTCTAGTGACTCATCTGTCTCAACATGCTCCCCCTGTGTGCCTTCTAGGACCTGAGCCTTATGCAGGGCCTGCATAACTACATCCTCTTTCTCTCTAGGAATCCCATCAGGCTTTTTGGCTTCTTCCAGCTTTTGCACAGATGCATCCTCTCTCTCTTCTTTTAGATCTACCATCACAACGTCACTCAGAAGCTCCCCGTCTGCACTGCCCATTTCACCCGCTGTTCCTTCTTCTTCCTGATCCTCACTGCAGAGCAGAATATCTGCCCCCACACTCTCCTCCAGGGCTCTTCTTAATGCCTGCACCTCCTCCAGGGACTGCACATCTCTTTCTGTGTCTGCAATTTCCTCCTGTGTAACTCGTAATAGCACAGTCTCACTCAGGATCTGCACAGCTGCACTAATGCCCTCTCCCAGTGGTGTTGTCAATGACCAGGCCTCATCCAGATGTTTCATATCTGCATCGGTCTCCTTTTCTATTTCTAATATTTGGGTCTTACCTAAGTGTGGCAGATCTGTACCAGCAGTTTCTCCCTTTGGTATTTCTACTGTCTCAGCCCTATCCAGGTGTTGTCCATCTGTATCAACACCCTCCTCCAGTGCTGCTGCCACTAATTGGGCCTCATCCAGATGTTCCATGTCTACCTCAGCACTCCCTGCCTCTGCTACTTTTGATATTCGCACTACCTCCCGGTGCTGCACATCTACATCAGCACCCTTGCCATGTGCAGTTTCAAGGTCTTGGGACTCCACCAGATGCTGCCTCCCCTCATCAACTCCCTCACCCTTCATCACTTCCAGCATCTCGGCTTTATCCAGAGACCACACCTCTGTGTCAGTGGTCTCCCCCTGCATTTGTCCTAGTACCGGAGCCTCATCCTGGGGCCACAGTTCTGCCGTAACAAGATCTCCCTGTGATTCTTCTGGTACCTGAGCCTTAACCAGGTGCTGCACATCTCCATCATCTCCCTCTCTCTTTTTAACATCTAGTGCCACAGCCTCATCCAGGAGTTTCTTAGATGCATCAACACTGTCTCCTGGCATTGCTTCTACTGCCTGTGCCTCATCCAGGTGTTGCACATCTGTCTCAACATACTCCCCCTGTATTCCTTCTAGGACCTGAGCCTCATGCAGGGCCTGCATAACTGCATCCTCTCTCTCTCTAGGAATCTCATCAGGCTTTTTAGCTTCTTCCAGCTTTTGCACAGATGCATCCTCTCTCTTTACTGTTAGGTCTACCATCACAACCTCACTCAGAAGCTCCCTGTCTGCACTGCCCATTTCACCCTCTGTTCCATCTTCTTCCTGATCCTCACTGCAGAGCAGAATATCTGCCCCCACACTCTCCTCCAGGGCTCCTGTTAATGCCTGTGCCTCCTCCAGGGACTGCACATCTGTTTCTGTGTCTGCAATTTCCTCCTGTGTAACTTTTAATAGCTGAGCCTCAATCAGGGTCTGCTCAGCTATACTAATGCCCTCTGCCAGGGGTACTCTCAATGACCAGGCATCGTCCAAATGTTCCAGATCTGCATCAGTCTCCTTTTCTATTTCTAATATTTGGGCCTTACCTAAGTGTGGCAGATCTGTACCAGCAGTTCCTCCCTTTGGTATTTCTACTGTCTCTGCCCTATCCAGGTGTTGTCCATCTATATCAACACCCTCCCCCTGTGCTCCTGTCACTAGCTGGGCCTCATCCAGATGTTCCATATCTACCTCAGCACTTCCTGCCTGTGTTACTTCTAACAGTTGCACTGCCTCCTGGTGCTGCACATCTACATCAGCACCCTTGCCATGTGCGGTTTCAAGGTCTTGAGGCTCCACCAGGTGCTGCGTCCCCTCATCAACTCCCTCACCCTTCATCACTTCTAGCATCTCAGCCTTATCCAGAGACCACACCTCTGTGTCAGTGGTCTCCCTCTGCATTTGTCCTAGTACCAGAGCCTCATCCTGGGGCCACAGTTTTGCTGTAACAAGATCTCCCTGCAATTCTTCTGGTACCTGAATCGTAACCAGGTGCTGCACATTTTGATAGTCTCTCTCTCCCTTTGTCATGCCCAGTGTCAGGAAGTCATTCACATGCTCTGTGTCTATATCAACTCTCTCTCCCTGCATTGATCCTACTGCTTCTGTCTCAGCCAAGTGTGGCCCATCTACATCCTCTCTTTCTCCCGTCATTGTTTTTAGTGACTCACCTTTGTCAACATGTTCCCCCTGGGTTCCTTCTAGGACCTGAGCCCCATCAAGGATCTGCGTACATGCATCTTCTCTCTCTCTGGGAATCACACCAAGCTTTTTAGCCTCTTCAAGGTGTTGCATAACTGGAAGCTCTCTCCCTCCTGTTGTTACTTCTACCATCACAACTTTACCCAGATGCTCTGGGTCTGCCCTCGTTTCTTCTTGTTCCTGATTCTCATTGTAGGGCAGCATATCTGCCACTACTCTCTCCTCCTGGGCTCCTTTTAATGCCTGCCTCTCCTCCAGGGGCTGCACATCTCTTTCTGTGTCTGCACTTTCCTCCTGCGTAACTTGTAACAGCTGAGCCTCACTCAGGGTCTGCATAGCTGTACTAATGCCTTCTCCCTGTGTCAGCGACCAGGCCTCATCCAGATGTTCCATAACTGCATCAGTCTCCTCTCCCTCTCGTACATCTAACATTTGGGCCTTGTCCAAGCATGGCAGATCTGCATCAGTACTTTTTCCTTTTGGCATTTCTACTGTCTCAGCCATATCTATGTTTTGTCCATCTGTATCAACACCCTCTCCCTGTGCTACTGCCACTAACTGGGCTTCATTCAGATGTTCCTTATCTACCTCAGCACTCCCTACATGTGTTACTTCTAACATTTGCCCTGCCTCCAGGTCCTGCTCATCTGTATCAGCACCCTTGCCATGAGTGGTTTCAAGTTCTTGAGACTCTGCCAGTTGCTGCCTCCCCTCATCAGCTACCTCACTCTTCATCACTTCCAATGTCTCAGCCTTATCCAGGGACCACACCTCTGCACTAGTGATCTCTCCCTGCATTGCTCCTAGTACCAGAACCTCATCCCGGGACCACAGTTCTGCCCTAACAAGATCTCCCTGCAATACTCTTGGTACCTGAGCCTTATCCAGATGCTTCCTATCCACATTATCTCTCTCTCCCTTTGTCATGCCTAGTGTCAGAACCTCATCCAGGTGCTCCTCGTCTACATCAGCACTCTCTCCTTCCACTGATTCTACAGCTTCTGCCTCATCCCCATGTGGCACATCTACATCCTCTCTCTCTCCTTTCCTTATTTCTAGTGTGTCAGTCCCATCCAGGAATGGGATGTCTGCATCCTCATTCCTTCCCTGCAGTGCTTCTATTGCCTCCTCCTCATCCAGTTGTTGCACATCTGCATATCTCTCTCCCTGCATACGTTCAACTGTTGCAACCTCACCCATGCACTCCCTGCCTGCCCCATTTTCTCTCCATAGTCCTTCAAGCTCCTCAGCCCTATCCAGGAGCTGCACATCTGCACTTCCGTTCTCTTCCTGGACTGCTCTTAAGCCCTGCCCCTCCATACTATCACTGTGCCCTGTTCCTATTGCCAGAGCCTCTGCAAGGGGCTGCACTTCTGGGTCTGCACTTTGCCCCTGCACTACTTCTAATAGCTGAGCCTCAGTCAGGGTCTCCATTGTTGCATTAAGACCCTCTCCTTGTGGTTCTGCCAACCATTGGTCCTCATCCAGATATTTCACCCTTGTACCAACCCTGTCTCCTGGTCTGTCGTCTACTGTCTCACCCGTATCTAGGTGTTGCACATCTGTGACAGCATGCTCCCCTTGGGTGTATTCTAGGACCTGTGCCCCATCAGGATGCTGCAGAGCTGCATCCTCTCTCTCCCCCTTCATTATTTCTAGTGTCTCTGCCTCACCTAGGAGCTGCACATCTGCCTTGGTGCTCACTTCCTGTGTTACTGCCAGTGGGTGAATTGGATCGGGCCCTGCTGGCTGAGAAGCACCAGCCTGCTCTGCTTCCTGAGCATGAAGTTCTGCTTGGGATGGTCCCTTGGTCCGAGGCTCTCCTCGTAAGGTGGCCTGATTGGCAAATACTGCCAGTGCCCCCTCTAAGACCTTTGCTTCTGCGTCATTTCTCCACTGTGCCTCCTGTTCTGCCTCTTTTACCTGCTCAGTTCCTTGCCCAGAATCCCCACCTTGTCTGCCCGGCTGTAAAGAACCATCTCTTTGTGGGAGGAGCTCATCTCTCCGTATTTCTGGCCCTCTTTTCAGAGCTGCTATTGCATCATTCAGTTCTCGCAGCAGAGAGCTTTGGCCTGTAAGCTCTTGTGGGAAACACTGCTGTCCCTCCATGAACTCTAAGACAGGATCCTCTTCTATGGAGATCACTCTTTTCCAGGGGCCTGAATCACTCCCAGCAGCAATGGAAATGTTTTCTTCTTCTGGCCCTTTCTGTGGTGCCCTGCAAAGAAACATAGATGATGGCATGCGATGTGCACAGGAACAATGTGTGCAAACATGCTTCACTGCCTCCACACCCTTGAGCTGTGCTAGTGGTGTGACAACCTCGCCACAGTGCTGGTGTGGTAACATAACACAGACAGCACCTGTTTCAAGGGGCTGTTGTTTAACCCTTTGCACATGGGGTGGGACTAAAAAGCATTCAAAACACCTCCAATTAGTGAATCAGTAAAACAAGAGGAAAGTTTGATCCAAATATGAAGCACTGATGCAGGATGATCCAGGGCATCAAGCTGAAATAACTGATCTAATTATTTCAGGAGGCCTAAGGAAGGGTGGACAATACCTGAAAGCTTGACTATAACTATACCAATACCAACCATGCTGTTAGTTCAATAAAAGACATCAACCACAAGAATTCTTGCACTTTGTAAAAGGAAGAAAAAGTGAGGGAGAGATTGCGTGCAGGAAAGGGGCAGCACCACTAGAACTGGATGGCCAGTGGTGGCCAGCGGAGCAGTAGAACAATGTTCTACTGCTTGGGCTGAAGAAGTAATGCCATTGCCTAATAGCAAATAGAAGAGATGACTGCTTGCTTAGCCGACAGGCTAGACAAGGTAATGCTGAAATTACAAACACACTAATAGACATCCATTGAGCAAAACGCCCCTATGGAGCTGCTCCAAGTAGCAGGGCTATCCAGTCAAGCTGCCCTTCCCACGATGTGCCGAATATGAGCTATGCCTCCCACCAGGTGCTAATCGCATTACGGTGTCCCACTGGGGTTTCAGCAGAGCATAGGAGCAGAGAACCAGCAGTGTAACAGCCTCAGAGACAGAGCAAGGTGCTAACAGGAGGACAAGGAGTTATCACTTCTTTGATCCTGCCCCAGACAAACCAGCTGGCCATGTTCCTGGCACTTACAGCTGAGGGGTGCCCTCTGGTTCCTGATGCCTGAGCTGGGATCCAAGCCTGATCCACATTTCAGAGTGGGGCATTTCCTTATTCAGCATTTCCTGAAAAGGAAGGGGGGAAGAGGGGTCAATAACAGACTTCCCAGAGAAATACAAGATACCTCTGCCCATATAATGCCAACTTCTTTTTCTCAGAACAGTGAAGTCCCTTATCCCCATTTCTGGTTCATTTCAATTTCAGTTTCCATTTCAGTGGAACCTACATCAACATCTTTCCACCCACCGGGCTTCAGAGTGCTTTGCAAATGGATTAGGATTGTCATCCATATTTTACTGATCTGGAAGTTGAAAGGCAGAGAAGGGAAGTGACTCAGGTCAGTGACCTGGGCCAATATCTCACAGCTTGCAGAGTGGGGGCTTAGAGCCATGAGATCATCCTCACACCCTGTGAAGGCTGCACCCAATCTTCACATTGTCCAAGTGTTGTGCTGGTGTCCAGCATACTAACATTTGTTGCAGGAAGCACGTGGCTGGCCGTGGGAACTGTGTGGCTGACTGGATATTGTGCCCTGTGGGCTGATTAAAATCTGACTCACTTCTTTTGTAAGGGGGCTGCCTAAATTTGAGTTGGTCTCCCAGCCTAAATGAGCAAGGAAAAATGGGGCAGATATGCAGCTGGGGTCAAAGGGAATTGCTCCATTGAAGCCAAAAGAGCTCCACTAATTTATTCTAGCTGAAAAGCTGGCTCCAGATGGTTTCTATTCTTTAGCTACAAGCAGCTCCACTGATATCCTCAAGAAACTCTTAAGTCTGATGATATTCCATCTATGCTGCATTGGGGCATCCAGGAGTATTGAGCCTGTGTAGAAACTATGAGCTCTGCTTACCACAGCAAATCTGGTACAACGAGGCTCCAGGACAGACTAAAGGGGAACAGTCCCAGTGACCCTCTATATCATCTCTGCAGCAGCTCTACCATGCCTGGTCCCCAGAAGTAGCTCAAAAGGGCCATTGCGAGAGGCATAAATGAGAGCAACCTTAGGGCTACTCTGACATACACTGGATCAGATGCTGGTGAATCCAGCCTAGTATGTGACAGCGAAAGGTGCCTTAGAAACACAGAAAGATTAAGGTGCAATAAGATTCCAGCACCCCAGAGGGCATTGCTAGAGCTGCACTTACTGTCTTTTGGAGGTGCTAGGGTCAGTGAAGTTAGGCAACTCCTCTCTGAAGGGATAGCGCCAAAGGGCGGGAAGGCAGTTGTATTGCAAGGGAAGGCAAAGACAATGTGAAAGGCTCCCCAGACCTATGAGAACAGAAGCAATCCCATCACCGCGACCTGTCCCCACTCAGACAAAATACCTGGGAAGGTGAAGGAGTCTCAAAGGACATGTCAGCCAGTGGTCTGTCCCTGCAAACAGAAAGAGGCAACAGTGATTTTACAACTGCTGTGTATGATGCCATACATGTCATGCCTTCACCAAGATCCCTCAGCTGCAGGATGCTGCTATCCCTACTGAGCACAGTGAGGGATTCCATCATGGGACAGCTGGTGAGATTGAGGTAGAAAAGAAAGGGGTTATTTGAAGAGTGGAAAAAGGAGTGTGTGCATTCAGGCTGGTGACAGGTGGCAGAACTCTGTCCATGGAGCAGGGATGGCCGGGGGAGCAGTAGGGCAAGCTTCCCTCCAGCATAGATCCTGGCTTCTGCCTCGCCCTTGATCTGGGGGTTCCTCTCTGGGAGAGAGGCTGACCTTTAGACAGCCCAAAGCCTTTTCTCCAGCCTGTGGTGTCCCATAGTGACCACCCGAGGAGTACTTGCCTTGTTTCTTCACTGTGCAGCTGGGATACCCTGCTTTTCATAGCACCCAGGTACTCTTGGGTCTCTTGGAGCTGCTGGTGGATTTGGTGCAGCTGGGTCTCCAGGTCCTGGTTGGTTTGTTTCAGCTGCTGGTTTTCAGAGCTGGCAGCCTGCTGGTTGGTCTGGAGGCTATGAAATTCAGTCTCAAGCTGTGAGGAGGAAAGAGGTGGTGAATTCAAGGACCCAGAGAGGAGCTAGCGGGGAGGTTGTTAGACTTACCAGCAACACACACAAACCCATGAATAATGAGCTAATCAGATCCTGGGCCTGGGGCCAAGCTTCCTTGTAGGCCAGCTCCCGTGCGCTTGTGCCCTCTTCAGAAAATGCACTGCCTTCTGCTTCACACAGGGCTTGAAGCCTGGATCCCAAACTAACAACACAAAGGAGTAGCCCCATCTTCCACCTGCTCCCAGAAGACCGTGCCCTGCTTGGCTGGGATTAGTGGGGCTGACTGATGGCCTGGCTTTGAATCACTACTTTGAAATATCCAGGCAACCTAGCATTTTACTCTCCTCAGTAGGATCTTGCCAGTGCAATGGAAGAGTCGTTGTTGTAGAAGGCAGGGTAGATTTTTCACCTTATAGACTAACCAAAGTAGAGATATATACAGCACAAGCTTTCGTGAGTTGGAGCTCACTTCATCAGATGCTGTGAAAAGATGTGCAAAAAGCAGAGTATAAGGAGGAAAGAGAAAACAGAATCAGCTCTGTCAGCAATTGACTCTTCATAACTCTGCAACCTACTCAGCCTTGGTTCTGGGGGTGGGACTTCCATGAGTGGAACAAGTGCACGAGCATGCAGCAGAGATCTGTGCTATTAGGCAATACACGCTGCATTCACCATCACACCAGATTCCTACCGCCCACTCAAGTCTGCAACACTTCAAAGCACAACAGTTGTCTTTGTCCAGGCGTGCCAGCTAAATCAAGCATCGCAGAAGGTGCTTTGCACTTGGGTGTACCCAATCCACCCAGAAGCAGAACACATGCTACAGGGACAATGTTATCAGCACAACAGAATAAACTCATTGCATTTGTATATAGCTGAGACATCCAAGCAGCAAGCAACGGGTTAATAGGATAAGAGATTCTGTTTTGGCCAGAAACCAGAACCTGTGGGGAAAAAAAGAAGGATGGGGAACAGGATTTGATTGGCAGTGCTAGTTCATGGGAGGCCCAGCTGTAAGGTTTGTGGCATGGTATAAGAGATGCTTTCAGTGAAGTGATTCAGCTGGCATTGATACAAAGCAGTGCCCAGTCTGGTGCCTGAAGGAGCCTCCCGTGGATGCTTCACCCAGCCACACACCTGAGTATTTCTGCCACTAGGTCCAAGTCCTCCCCACACACAGCTCACTGGCGGGAGGACACAGACCATCTCACCTCCTTTTGGGTCAATACCAGGTGCTGCACTTCCCTCTCCTTGATGGCCAGTGCTCTCTGCATCTCCGTGCTCTGCAAGTGACTTCTAGCCTTGCTCTGGATTCGAGAGAAGATGTTAATGCTAGCTTCTTCAAATGAGCTGCCTGTCCCTTGATGCCACCCAGAGTGACAAATTCTTCCCTCGCTGCACTGCACTCAGGGCTGAGTAGCTAAAGCTGAGGGCAAATGTTCACAGTCTGGCCCATGATTTCAGCTGGAACGTAACACAGCTTCCATTGACCAAACAGAAGGCAGACTACAGGCCTTGGCTCCTTCCAGCCTGGAGACCCAGACAAAATGGCTCCAGCTGGACGTCCAAGCACATGCCGAGGAGCAACTCTGAGTGACATCTGTAGCACTATGAATGACTCATGACCCACGTGTGTCTGAGGGCAGAGATCAGAACACCCACCAGCAATAGGAACAGAGTATGTCCAGAGTAGGGTTGGGTATTTGACTGGTCATATAAAGTTCAGTCAATTGACCAGTGAAATATCAGTCAAAAATTGTAAAAAATTGCCAATAGGTTCAAATAACAACAGAAAAAGAACACATTTTCCATTAGGAAACGTGTCAAAAAACAACAAAAATCATATTTTTGTCATGAAAACTATAAAAATGTAGTTTTTTAAAATAAAATTGCTACAATCTTTGACCAGTCAAAAAACATGCAGTCAATTAACAATATTTGATCGGTCAATTGACTGGCATGCCAGCCCTAATCCAAAGACAGGTTCATCACACCTGCTGGTGCAAAGGACTGAGAAAAAAATGGTTTGAGCTGGGGCCCTGAAAGCAAATTGCCTTCATGGAAGAGAAGAGAAGGGATGGTCCTGCAGACAAAGAACTTGATTGGACTGCTAGACCCCTGGGATTGAGTCCTGGCCCTGCCACTGATTCCCTATTTGATCTTGTGCAAGTCACTTAACCTCTTTGAGCACTGGTGAGAAGGAGATAATATCACTTCCTTTTTCCGGCTAGTATGGGTAGCCTGAAAGCTGTATTTACCATTATCATTATTATGTCGGGATGAATTGTGGTATTTGATGTGAATGTCATTTTTTTGTTTCATATTTTGGCCAAGATTATTTAGTTGGGCAGTGTTTCACTTAAGTGTTCCTGACCTATTCACACTTGAGAGAAGTCATTGGTAAGAATAAGCATCTGACATGGGTATGTTTAACGGCCAGTTAAATAGACCTTGTGGACATGATATGCGGCACTCGAGCCAGGCCCTTCTAGACAGCACTGAATTTATATTTGAATACAGACCTGTAACAATAACACTTGAGAACAGGCTATTCAGGTAAGGACATTTCTCACAGTGGAGAAATTAAGTGAGAGACAGTATCTTCAGGATATTGGATTAGTCATCCTTATGTCTGAAAGGCTGCAAATGTTTTCCTGGTCATCATTGGAGCAGGAAAGATTTCTCAGTCACTGGTAAACAATTACACCCCTGGGGCCAGGAAGTTATATGCATAGTATAAGCTCCTTAAGAATGCAATGGATATTGTATGTAAATGGCCAGATAAGAAACCATATGTAAGTCTTGCCACGAGATCAAGTGTTTGCCTTTAGTTTTTTTGAGCGTAGGGAATGATTTTAGGCCCTCAGCCAGCTGGGTGAGTGAAACAGGATGATGGGAGAAGTTGCAGGGAGCCCTGGCAGGAAGGACAGAGGCAGAAATTGCTTTCTAATCTCCTACGCTGAGTAGGAGCTGCATTATTAGGTTTAAAAGGCAGGGTAAAATCAGATTATTGTTCTGAAATTTTCTGTCATTTGTTTATTTAAGTATCATTTGCTTTGCTTGTTTATTGTCATATCATTTTAATTGTATGCGTGTGCTTATTGATCTATAGGAACAGGCTACCTAGAGAAATTGTGGAGTGTCCATCCTTGGAAGTTTTCAAGAGCAGGTTAGACAGACACTTGACTGGGCTGGTTTAGTCAGGGATGCTCCTACCTTGAGCAGAGGCCCAAATTAGATGATGTTGGGAGATCCTTTCCAGCCCTACTTTCCTGTGACTGTTTATTATAAACTTCATACAGTGCCTTGTACAGTGGACTCCAATCTCAAGTGTCCACAATGGGCACTACTGGGATACAATCAGCTGAGGGAGCTTTGGCCTTGTGTGTGCTCTCTCTGGCCTGGGTGAATGAAATCCATGGGTATCCTGTGTATCAAGCAGACCAAGGAGGCCTGGCCTGAGTCTGTATGTTCTCAATTCTTCTCCAAGAAGAAATCAGCCCTGGTCTAGAAATCCCAAACTTTCTTCCCGCTTCGCAGAACCCAGGTGACAGAGAAACGTTGACAAAAGTTACATATATGGTCACGGGTAAGTGTGTGCATGCACACAAGTAACCAAAAAATTGAATCCCACCACTTCCTTTAACTCCATGTTGAACTTACTTACTCACTGTGACAGCAAAATGTGCATATTTTCCCTAACTAATGAACATGATCTGACAAGTTCACTTTATAAATAGCTTCCCCTCTGCTATGAATTCAGGCACAACTACTGGGGTAGACAGAAGGGGGAACAGGTATGTGTTTTTAAGGTGTGTAGGAATGCTTATGTGGGATATTGTGTGTGTGTATATATATATTTTTCCAAAAAAGTCTGTAAACCTAAGTGAAAAAGGAAGGGAACAAAGGAGAAAACTTATGGTAGGGAAGACAGCAAAGGCAAGGGCATCCTAGATTTAGAGGTCAGACCTGGAACATGGAGTATGGATGGTTCTGCCAGGATTATTTAATTGGTCCCTTATCCAAGCCCTACATGGATCAAGATTCAAAGATGGCTTTTTATACCAGCTGGGTGAAGAAGCATTTCTGGGACTTGGATGAGAGGGGAAGATGATACATCAGGGAATGCATTCAGAACTTAAAGGGGGTTGTGTGGCAAGTAGCCAGGGAAGCCCAGGGTTCAAAATACAGGGGGGGCTCAGAGAAGGTTGAGCCTCCTCCCCCATAAGAGAGAGACTCACAGATGCTAGGGTCGGAAGGGACCTCAACAGATCACTGAGTCTGACCCCCTGCCTAGGCAGGAAAGAGTGCTGGGGTCAGATGACCCCAGCCAGGTGCCTATCCAGCCTTCACTTAAAGACCCCCCAAGGTACTGGAGAGAACCACCTCCCTTGGAAGCCCATTCCAAATTTTGGCCACCCTTACCGTGAACAAGTTTTTCCTGATGTCTAACCTAAATCTGCTCTCTGTCAGTTTGTAACCATTGTTCCTTGTTACCCCAAGAGGTGCCCTGATGAACAGAGCATCTCTGATCCCTTGCTGCACCCCACCTAATGAATCTGTAGGCGGCCACAAGATCACCTCTCAGCCTTCTCTTGCGGAGGCTGAAGAGGTCCAGGTCCCTCAGTCTCTCCTCACAGGGGAAACCCTTAACCATACAAGTGGCCCTCCTCTGGACCCTCTCAAGGTTATCCACGTCCTTCTTAAAGTACGGCACCCAAAACTGGACGCAGTACAGGCAGTCCTCAACTTAGTGTTTCAAGTTATGGCGTTTTGCACTTACAACATTTATAAATTGACACCATTTCAACTTTATGACATCAGTTTTGACTTTACAACGCTTGATCCGATGCGACACCACGCCAGCAAACAAGTTTGCTGCGTCGCTCATCTCCCTGGAGAACGTTTGTCCAAACTTCCTTGGACACTTTCTTTAAGAAAACAGACAAGACTCCAGAAAAACCTGCAGCCGAGACTCTCAAGAAGAGTCTAGCCACAAACCCTTCAAAAAGTCCAACCAAGAGCCTTTCAAAAAGTCCAGCAAAGTCACCTCAAAGAAGTCCTTCCAAATCACTTTGATTGCTATTTACAATATAAATACATTAATATATTACTCATCTATAATTGATAGAGTACAAAATTCTAGGGTATTTTTGGTGAAAATAGGGAATTGGGCCTTGGTTTAGGAACCAATCCCCCATTTATAACATTGTTTCTTATGAGAAAATTGGTTCTGAATTACAACATTTTGACTTAAGATGTGGTTTTCAGGAACCATTTGTGTCAAAAGTCCGAGGACTGCCTGTACTCCAACTGCGGTCTGACCAGTGCCGCATAGAGGGGAAGTATCACCTCCTTGGATCTATTTGTCATGCATCTGCTGATGCATGATAGAGTGCGGTTAGCTTTGCTGATGATTTCGTCACACTGACGGCTCGCGTTCATCTTGGAGTCCACTGTGACTCCGAGATCCCTTTCCACTTCTGTGCTGCTGAGAGGGTCACTTCCCAACCAGTAGGTGTGCTGGATATTTTTATGCCCTAGGTGCAGCACTCTGCACCTGTCCTTGTACTGCATCCTATTGTGTTCTGCCCACTTTTCCAACTTGTCCAGGTCTCCCTGCAATCATTCCCTACCCTCTGGAGCGTGCACTTCCCCCCACAATTTCATATCATCCGCAAACATGGATAAAGTGCACTTCACACCCACATCCAAGTCACTGATGAAGACATTGAAGAGTACAGGTCCAAGGACCAAGCCCTGCGGGACCCCACTACCCCCCATCCTTCCAGGTCTATACCAACCTGTCTGCTACCACTCTCTGGGTGTGACCCCCAAGCCAATTTGCTACCCGCCAGACTGTGTAATCATCTAAGTCACAGCCTCTTAATTTATTTATGAGAATGGGATGATATACCATATTGAAGGCCTTCCTAAAATCCAAGTAAATGACATCCACCTCTATTCCTGCATCTAAGCATTTTGTGACCTGGTCATAAAATGAAACCAGATTAGTCAGGCATGATCTACCTGCTACGAATCCATGCTGGTTGCTCTGCTGCATTTTTTTTCCCCCCGGTGGACTCACGCAAATATGATCCTTAATCTTTTCAAAGACTTTTCCAAGGATGGAGGTGAGACTGATTGGCCTATAATTACTCAGGTCCTCCTTCCTCCCCTTCTTGAAAATATGGACTACATTGGCCCTTTTCCAGTCCTCCGGGACCTGACCCAAGTGCTCAAACAGCTGTGCCAGTGACTCTGCTATGATGAGAAGCCCCCAGCCCACCCTGTACCTTTCTAACCAGCTCAGGCAGCAGCAGTGGCTCCTTCCAGCTGCCACAGCCACAGACCCCCAAGAGCCTGTGTGTAATATGAACCCTGGGGAAGCCCTAACAGACCAGGCAGGATATGGAGGTGGATATGGAACAACAAAACTGAGAGGGGAAAAAATCGCATCCTTCCTGCTAGGAGCAAAATGGACATTCATATGTGTACAAGACATTGTGAAGAGGATGGTGATCAATTGTCCTCCATGTGCACCAGGGGTAGGGCAAGAAAGAACTGGCTGGATCTGCAACCAAGATGACTAGGGTTATTGCTGCTAGGTACCGGTCACTGAAACAAGCTATTTGAGAAGGAGATTTTCAAGCACAGATTAACAGACTTCAGTTGGAGGTAGTCTAGGAAGACTTGATCCTGCCTTAGCGTGGGAGAGGGTGAGACACCCCCATGAGGTCCCTTTTTGGCCCTATGTCACATTGAGCCTTCAGTAAAGAGAGATGCGATCCAAATGAGCCTTAGGTTTGAGGTCCAGTGTGTTTGTGAGCCCCAGGCCATCACTGTGAATGACCAGGAAATGTGGGGTCCAGAGATAGACAGCTGCAGAGCTAGTGACTTCCTGTTGCTCGTTTGCACCTGGGTGGCTCCTGTACTTCTGTTTGCTTGCTCCCTTCCTCTGGCTGAACACCAGGAAGAAGCAAAGCTGCCAAGCTCCCCATGTCCCACCCTGCAGGCCCAGCACCTCTGTGGCTCTTTACGGTTCTTCCCAGCCCACCTCCCAGAGGTCAGAGAGGCAGCGAGTTCTGGGTCCAGACGAAGCCCTCCTGCCTGGGAAAGGAGAACTGCCTCTCCCCCCTCACCTGAGCACCCTGCCACACATGGGAGTTGGAGGTGATCAGATATGCATGGGACTTGAACCCACCTCATGATGCAGCCGCTGCTTCTCCTGGTGGATTTGCTGCTCCATTTCTTCATACAGATGCTGCACCTCTCTGTTGCGTTCAGTGACTTGTCTGGCACAGCAAAAGGAGGGGCAGCTTGAGCATGGGTCTAATCGCATCAGACTGAGCCCTTTGACCACAGATAATGCTGGGGAAAGGGAACTGATGGATAGCCCTGGAGAGGCTTCTCCCCCAACAGAGCAGGCAGCAGCTAGACAAGTTTCTGCTCCGCACTGCCCTACCCATATGGCCTGACCTGCCCAGGCCGGTCACAGAAGCAAGGGTGGTACTGGGCTGATGATACTGGGCCTGATCTGGCACACATCTAACTCATTTGGAGTCCCTCCAGTCAGTGGAGGTTGGTTCAGGCTCTGAGCCCTGTGTCTCACTGCTGTGACCACTCTTCTGCAGTGGTGGTTTTGTGATGTGGACCCCTCCCTGCAATTCCTCTGGGCCAACAGAGACCTTGGTGACATTTGGTCTGAACTGGGTAGATCAGATCGTGTAACATGGACATCAAATGCTTCCAGCTGTTAAGCAACCTCCTAAGCCACCCGTTGCCCCACAGATGGAAATGATGAAAGCCTCCCTTGGGTCCATCATTCCCATTTTTCACTCATCTCCCTTCTGTAGGGCTAGGTTTGTAAGATCCCCAGCCCAATTCTGCAGTGTGACTCACTTGGTTAAGGTCAGCTCCAGGGTTGCCTTTTCACTCCTTACTTCCTTGATCCGATTTGTCATCTTGGCCAGGAACTCCTCCAAGTTGCCCAGCAAGTGCGGCTCATCCTGACGCAATTTCACCCACAGCTTCCAAATCTCCGACTGGCTGGAGAGAGAGACATGGATGTGTTCAGGTGAGCAGCTTGCAGATTCCAGTGGCCTACTTCCATCTGTTTGCAGTGGCAGGGAGGATCTTTGCCATCTGGTCTCATTACTGGTTAGACTGGGGAAAAAGCTCTCTGAGAATACTTGTTGTTCCAGAGACTCTCTGCAGGGCTTGAGACCTTCCCCATAGCAGTCTGAATGCCAGTGAGTCTATAGGAACACGAATGAAAGGGCTTTTCAAGTAATTCTGGGTTTGTAGAGAGGGACAATGAGCTGGGAGTGCGGGGGAAGTTAGGACTCATTAAAAAAAAAAAGGGGGGGGGGGAATTATTTTCTGCTAATTAAAAATAAAAAAAGGGAAATCATTGGTCTCATTCAAAGTTTGTCCTGAATGTGTCCAACGTTGACTGAAAGGAAACCCAAATTTTTGTACAGTTGAAAAAAAGGGGAAAAGTAAAATGTCAGGCTTTTTGTATGGAACAAAGATGGTGGCTGAGGAGACGTTTTGGAGTGGAAAGTGTTTTATCAAAAAGCTTTTAGTGGGCCCTAGTGATAGTCTAGAGCAGTGGTCTCCAAACTTTTTTGATCGCACACCCCTATCAGTAAAAAATTTTTGAGCGCACACCCCCAATATATGTATATTTATATAAATAGAAGTTCTAATATTTTCTTCCCGCACCCCAGTGGATCGTCTTGCGCACCCCACTTTGGAGACCACTGGTCTAGAGCCTGGGAATGGAAGGGAATGGAAGCATTTCAGAGCTCCATGTTAGAAGGAGGCTTGCCGTTCAGTGAGGATTTCTTTGCAAGGCAGGTGACTAGCTCTGCAACCAGCCAACCCTCTAGGAGGTGGGCCAAGAAAGACCCTTGAGTTTGCCGCAGCCCCAGTGCTAACAGCCATTCTTTAGCTCAAGGAACAGCAACTCATGCCTGATGACTAAAAAGCTCCCTCTCGAAGGGCCACCAATAAGACTGCAGGCAAGCACAACTTGACTCTCAACTCCCGTGCCCCTGCCCTTGGAGCAGGCATAGGAAGCATGGGGCAAAGGTGTCTTAAAGCTATTCCTTTGCTCCCTACCATCTTGCTCCTGGTGGCCTGTATGGGGGATAGGTCTTGGCTTGGATGTCCCATATAGATTCACAACCCCAACCCAGGCTTGCATGGGGCCCAATCACTGGGCACTAAATGAAAACATGGTTGATGGGCTTTTACTCTTCAAAGATGTGCTCTGCATCCAGTTGGTCCATGAAGTCTATGAAGCATTTCCTTTCCTCACTATCCACATCTTCCAGAGACAGGTCAGCTGACATCATGTGCACCCTCCGGGAAGCTGTTTTCCTCCTCCGATGCTCTCTGGTTGCAGTCTGTGAGCTCAGGAACTGCCCTGCCATTACATAAACAAAGACACTTCAGTGGCCTGGTGTTACAGAACAGTAAAGTCCAAGGCCAAGATTTTCTAAGTTGTGGGGCTCATTGTTAGACTCCGATACAAATACACACCCAAATAAAGTGGTTTTTAGGCTCTCTGAGCACATGCAGATATTTGATTTTCTGGATACTCAGCACCTCTCGTCAGGAGCCTGACTAGGTCCCCTGTTTAGAAGCCTGGGGCTACGCATCCAGGATGTCATTCCAGGCGGATGCTAGGAAAGATCTGGACAAGCAAATGTTTGATAAACTAGAATTGTCCATGCTACCTTCCCTGTGCGAGAGAGGGAGGAACCAGCCTGAGGAACAGCCCCTGGCTTCCTATCACACTCACATCTGGACTGGAGTTAATTATTGCAAATGGTGCAGTCTGGAGAGACAGGAACCTGGGTGGGTAAGTCATGCTGGGCATTACAAATACCTGGGCAGCAGGTGGACAATGCCAGGTAGTCCAGCCACCTGGAGCATGTCAAGCACCTGGAGCAGGAAGAAGGCTGTGCAGCAGCCCAGGCACATGAGGCAGCCTGTGGGCCATGCAGGCTGTATGGCAGAGTTGGAGGGCCGTGCTAAGGGAAAAGCCAGTTTTTCTGAAAAAAGAGAAGTGGAAGTGGCAGATACTCTCAGTGCACTAATCAAACCATGCAGCAAAGCATTGCCCTGCTACAGTGAATGAATCCACACTCTTCTCTGGGCTGAAAGATCAGGAGAGATGGCCATGTCTTAGCATGATGGAGGCTTGTGCGGTGATTTCAGAGTATGTGCAATAAATGTTGGGATGCCCCTTCCTCACTAGGGCTCTACCACAACTGCTGCATTTATTCAGTGGCAACGCTGACTCCTTGAAAGCAGCAAAATGGCACCTACGCAGCCCTGTGGTGAATTCCTCTGTCGTTAAAGATCCATTCTTATCAGTATCGAGAGTATCGAAGATGAACTCCAGCTCCTCGGCGCTGCATGGGAGATCCCTCATCTTCAGGTTCTAAAAACAATGCAAATGTCCGAGTGTGATTAACCCCTTGCAGTAGTTGGAGGAGAGGGGAAAGGAGCTGTTCGCCCACCAGGAAGACACTTTGCTTAAGCAACAAGGGTAACTAGCCCCAACTCTGCCCTAATCTGTTGTATTTCTTGCACCTAATCCCATTTCCACACAATAAAAGTGATGTGACTCTATTCATTTCTACAGAGGCAGCAACTGGGTCTCAGACAACCTGGGTTTTGCTTCTGTCTCTGCCCCCAGGGGACCTTGGACAGGGCACGTCACTGCTCTGTGCCTGTTTCCCCTTGTTCATTGTGGGCGGTCAGTCTCTCTTAGGGGTAGGTCTGAGCTTCAGGCACCTGCATTGTAGATGTACCCTAGCCACTGTGTACTGGTCAGTCTAGCTGCAGCAGCATGGAACTAATTCACTCTGCTTCTCAGAAGCGTGGCCCACTTTTGTGGCAGGGTGAATTTGCCCATACTGAGCCTTTCCCCGGTTGTGGTGCAGAGAGACCCTGTACAGGATCTACAATGCCTCAAACACGGGCAGCATAATACAAAACAACACTCTTGATTTGTACTGCTGAAAGGAGAATCAGATGCACAGAGATCCTATCCACCTACTCCTACCTCCAAACACCCTGCTGGGACTACCAAGTCCTTCCCAACTCACCATGCTGAAAACCATCTACTCCAGAGACTTGGCAGGATCAGATCCAAAACTTAATAGCAACCCGTGATCTGTGATTTTGCCCTTGTCTAGAAACATCCATGCCAGGTATCTATTAATATGGACTCGATCTAATAAATCCCTTCCGACCCTAGAAATCTATGAAACACCTCTAGGGAGCAGAGAAGAATGTTCAGACCTGTTTTACAGAGGGGAAAACTGAGGCAGGAAACAACGTGATTTATCAGAACCATGTGGTGAGTCACAGGCAGCCCCATGAGCTGACCACAAGCCAGCCCACCCACTTTTGCTCATGACATGTTTGGTTTGGCTTTTCATTGGGCAATTTTCAGAGCACGGGCTTGATTCTGGGAGGTGAATGAGGCAGAGCTCTTCTGAGCTTCAGACCTTAGAGACTGACTAGCTTCATATTCATCTATTTGCAATGCAGTTATAGTGCTTAGCCATGAAATAGCACTTGTCAGCCCTAGATCTCAGTGTGGCTGATGAAGGGAAGTGAATAGCATTTTCCCACTTTAAAAAGCATGAAACCGAGGCACAATGAGCTGTGACTTCCCCATGGTCACACAGGAGACAAGGGGCAGACTGAGGAGTAGGATCACAGGTCTCCTGAGTCCCATTCCCGTGATCTGTCCCCAGATCTAGTGCTTTTTTCAAGTCCCAGCCCTTGGTTCTAGGAGGCAGAATTCAGCTCACCCAGGGCAATGCTTAAGCCTGCAATTTACCTGCATGTCGGCACGCGTGATGAATCCTTTCTGGTCCTTGTCGCATTCCCGGAAGAAATCCCGGACCTTTTCCATTATTTCGGACGCCACCGGCTCCTCCTCTAGGATCGAGGATTCCTTTGCCTGGTCACTCATGTCTCTTAGTTGCTTCCGTCGGCTGGAACCCAGCCGCCTGCCTTTGGCTGGAGTCCTCTTCCGCTCCATAGCCTTTGAACATACGGCTCAGCCCTTTGAAGAGGGAAATAAGAGGGCACCATGCTCTCCTTCCTCCCCTCAGTGTATTTAAGTAACAGGCTTTTAACTGGATTAGTTCTCTGGGCCACAGACCTCTCACACTGAGGAAGTACAGGCAGTTTCACTATTCCTAGCTCCTGCTGGGCACATGGCTACATCCCTGCAGCTGACAAACTGCCACCTAAAGCTGCTGCCTGTGGCTACATAGGGAATTCACGTAAGAGCCAAGAGAGTTAGAGATGGACCTCCTACTCCTCAGGGCCAGTGGCTTGGCCCCGACCCCATCCTGCTGCTCAGCCAACACAGAGGGAGAGAAAAGCATCCCAAAATTGATCCCTCTGCCCAAACCAAAGCCACTCTCTGGCATTTTTCTTCAAAACATTGGACATTAATAGCCACAAGTAAAGGAGTTAAGCCAGGTGTACTGAGGGTTTGAACTGGGAAGGGAGCTTGGGTTTGAGCGAATGAAAGCAGCATTGCAGATACCAAGAGTCAAGCCTCAAGCAGAAGCACCTGACAGATATGGTGAATGGCAGCAGATCAGCCTCCTGGATTTGATTCACTAAAGGTCTGAACAAGAGGTCCGGTTTGCATTTATACCCACTCTGGCAGCAGACCATGCTGTACAGGAAGCAGTGGCAGGCTGGGGTAGGGGCTCTGTACTAGACTTGCTGCTAGCTTCTGCCATCAGGAGGTGGGTTGCAGGCACCACATTAGAGCTAGTCTTTTCTTCCCAGGGCTCAGGAAGGAAGATCCTCGGAGGCAGAGCATAGGTTAAAGTAGTCTTGGGGTAACTCTAGCTTACTTGGCATCATTGCAGATTACAAGAAGCACAAAAAGTTTAAAGCCCCTTTTGTTCCCCTATGCCTTATGCTAAGGGCAGGAAAAGCAGGTCCTGGGAATGCTCATGGTCTTACTTCTGCTCTTCCTTTATATATGGTGTCTGAGGCTGAACTCAGCAGGACAGGGACAGTGCCACTGCAGTGTAAAATGCCTTACTCATTCTGAGCGACTGATCTGTGATGGGGCGGGGGAGAGAGATCTGGTAAAGGAAATACCATGATCATGATTTTCATCCCTGGTGGCTTTACTTACCTGGCAAGGGAGATCCCCTTCTTCTCAGCCTTGAATGACTTGGTGTAGTTAGAGGGTGGAGACCTGTCCCTACTCCCTTGCACTGCAGATGGGCACCTATGCAAGAGTCTACTAAGGCTTCCCAATGGGAGGATCTCGGCTACACAATTTATGGTGATGGGGGATTGCTCTCCAGCTTTCTCTCTAACTTGCTCCTTCAACCTTTTGGCACAGGGCAAGCAAGATGAGGGAGCATCTGAATGCCAATACCTCTGGGTTTGGGGCCTGCATGTAGGATGCCTGCCATGGATTTTGGAGTATCTGAAGCCTCAGGCTGAAGAGGCTGGGAGGTAGGACACTTGCTGGTGGTAGCGCCGCACAGACTTGAACGATTGAAGTGTGCTCAGTCAATAGAATTTGGAACTGATTTGGCCCCAGACACAAAATTTAAAAAAAGATCCTGTGAATGGCAGCAGCAGATCAGCCTCCTGGATCAGCTTTGACTTTCCTTTTCAAAGGAAACTCAGCCCCCTAGGATAGCAGCAGACTCAAATTTGGGGAACTGAAGCCAAAAGCTGTGTGGGTTTCACTGTACTACTCTTACAATTCTACCACCTAACTTGGGATATTTGGCATTTCTCTTAAAGCCTCAGTTCCTGGAGCGCTAGGATTAGCTACAGTCTCTGCTTTTGGTTTTGAAAGTTCATTCCAGGAAAAGAAAATGATAGGCTAGGGTAGGATATATGTTATAAATCATCAGGTATCAGTGAATTTGGGATTCTCCTGGCAGCAGCTAGGATCAGGTCTGGTACAGAGCCCTGACCCAGCCATAGGCTACTAGAGGAGCAGGTTGAGACTTCAGTGTAAAAGCAAACCAGGCTTCTTACTAAGCCCTTTAGCAGATCTGCTAATTTTTCCTGGTTTTTATTTATAGCACTTTTTAAATCCTTCCCAACAGGCTGCAAAGTTTGGAGTCATCCCAGATGGGGGCTCTTAGATTCTGCTGGTAAAAACCACGAAGAGAATCCCTTTGAGGCTCCCGTCTGCAGTCTTATGCCTGCATTTCACAGTAAGCCCCAGCTCTGTCTACTCGTCTCTCCCAGGTCCTCCAGCTCCCTTCCCTGCAAGCTCAGAGGACCACTGGGGCTTTAATGCGTGTCCTCACCACACCCCTGTGCAGCAGGGCACGGCTCTTATCCCGATGCTGCAGCTGGGGCACTGAGAAGCAGAGAAGCGAAGGGCCGGATCAACAAAGGGGCCAAGATCCCAATGCTGGGGGTGTAAATTCACAAGCTTGTGCCAGACAACAAAACTCCTAGTCAGTGACTGGGCAAAGTTAGAAACCCTGGGAGTGGCATTCACTACAACCAGTATGGAGATCAGGGAGATACCCAAACCAGCCAACAAGAGTTGCTGAAAGAAGGGGGTGGTCTGAAAACCAACCTCTCCCCTGGCATTGCCTGTAGTCTTGGGTGAGGCCCCTGGGGGTTCATAGTACAAAACACCTTCCAAACTCAATGCCTGGGGTTTTTGTGTGGGTACATGCAGCCCCTTTAATACAGGAGGAGGTGATGATGAGACGGTGCTTTCCTACTGTATAATTCCTATTATACAGTAACTCCTGTTGTATAACAGCCCCCTGGCCAGAACATTTGCCCTGTGTTCAATGCCCTACTCACCCTTGGGGGCTTCAAAGCCACATCTTCCCTTACCCCACTCCTGAGAGCACCCTAGCCACCAGCTGTGGCCTACCCTGCTTGGGGACTGCCTCCACTCCTCCACTCTGCAGCCAAGAATGCAAGATTCACGGGGCCAGAGGGAGGGCGACAGTAAGAAGAAACTGTCTCTGCAGCCCTGTGATAAGAGCTCTCAGCTGGGAAGGGAGAGTCCTGGGTTCTGGTCCTACTCCCAACACACTGTGCCTGCTTTTCATCCAATAACTTTTCACTGCAAAAAATACATAAGCATGAGGTCACACAGGGAGTCTCTTGCAGAGCAGGGAGTTAAACTCCTCCTCTTAAGTGCAGGCCAGCACCCTCACCACTGGCCCCTCTTGCCACCACACAGGGCATGAGACTCTTCCATTTAAACAAATGGCATTTCGATGTGAACTACAGAGATTAGCCATGACACTGGCTGCGGGGGTGAGAGGGCTGGTGAGTAAGCAGAGTTCACTACAGTGTGATGTAAGGTTAGCAACGGTTAAAAGAGGTGCTGATAAGGATCCAGCCTACGCAGGAAGCGAGAAAGCAGACCATTTGAAGCCTCCACTGGGCTTCAAAATAAAGATAACCCAAGTAGGAGCCTTGGGTCCCCATTGTATGTCTGGTCTGAATCAACCCATTGGCTTAAGCATAAGGTGACCACATGGGATAATAGGAAGTCTGGGACACTACCCATCCCCCAGTCCAATCTTACTGGTGCATCCTGTACCAAGAGCAGGATGGCCTTGTGGCTCGGCTCATCACGGAGCAGAGCCAGTGGGTCCAGCTGAAGGATCCCTCCCAGCTGAGATGAATAGGCTGGAGTCTCCTTGATTCTACATGGCCTTCTACTCACAACAGTTCATGCAGATCACAGCCACCTGCACAACCCCCTTAAATATCAGCATCAAAGCATTTCTGCTTCTGCTGCAAATCCAGCCCTGATGATTATACAAAGCCAGGTGTCAAAAAATTCTGAAGGAGCAAAAAGGAGCTGTTTCTTCACCTGGAAGCATAGCAGTAACCCTGATGCTCAGGTGTCTGCAGCAGGTTCCAGGCTAAGCCAGCCTCAAGAATAAAAAAGCAGCCCATCTGTCTTACCTTCTAGTAGTGCTTCAGGGAGGGTTTCAGCCTTTCCGAAGTGCAGGGCACCCGCTTGTTGTGTGAGAGGGATCCCAAGCTCTCAGGGAAGTTAGTTCGGTAAGAACGCAGAGGAGGGATATTGCCGTTACACGTTATCCGCCCAACTGAGGCCTGAGTCGTCACTGTCTTTCTTGCTTAACTCAGTTTTCCGCGGTCGAGTGAGACCTACCTCCCAGCATTTCCTGTTCTCAGATGCTGCTTTGTAACCTTAACTTGTGAAAACAATATTTAAAGGGACACCATCACTGTAAAATAGTGAGGCACATGGACAAATCCCAGCTGCTATGAGGTCCAATTAAGAATCCACCTCCTCACTCAGAACAAGCTACTGGACTTGTAACCATCGGGTCCATTGGTGATAAGCTCTTTGGTCCAGTGACATGTTTTAAACAGGCCCAGATGTCTTTGGAAGCTATGTAAACAACACGGGTGTGAATGCCCTTAGCCTCCCATGCTAACAACACCCCCATGGCACAGAGACCTGTCTGCGTAATTCTGATCTAGATCCAGAGTTCTGAACTCCTGCAAGCCTCCCATTTCTCTGGATCTTGGGTTTTGGTTCAGTCTCAGTTTGGACATTGTGGGTGGGCATTGCAAAGGAACCTAAAGGATTTGGGTGCTCTGAACTCAGGGCATCATTCCCTCGTGCCCCTTTGAAATGCCCACTCTGTTATTCATCCAACTTTTAAAATCTCACTCGGTATTCACTCTGGGGTTGTTTAGTTATTTTATTTATTGCAAGGAGACAATGCACTTGGACTTGTTGCTTTCTTTCTGCTTTGGGTCTCCCCACTGCCAAGGCCCCATTAGATGCAGCATGTCAAAATGGCCTCCTAGATTTCGCCAGGGATTTGAGTGCTGAGTAGAGTTATTCATTACCTGTAAAGAGGTGCCCAGCATTGATCCTTGCTCACCAAAGCTGAGATCAGCTCTGGTTACACTTGCCTGCTCCCTTCAGGTGCATCATGGGGGGTGAGTGCAACTATCCCCGAGAACATTCTACATCCCTGCAAACAGATCCTATCTGCCTCCCCATTTAGGAAATCAAAGCCAAGCTCACTTAGAATTACAGGAAGGCTGATACTGTCAACCCCCTGGGCCTGTGTTTTGAAGTAAAACCTGTTTGGCAAGCACTTGTGTGTTACTATGGGCTAACAATCAGCTGCGGGGAGTTTAACATCAGGACAGCTGTCACAGATATTGTGGCTTTACAGCTATTAGCAGAACTCAAGGCAGGTGCATTTGGGAGGGGCTGATTTACTAGTGTGAGGGCAACACAGAGTAGGGTAAGTGAATAGAGGAGGAGTTTGGTCTTGTTCCTTGCTTCCAGAATAAGCAGCCCTCTCTTGGTATTGCTCATAGAAGGCTACAGGATTTGGGAGGTGATCCCCTTAATATGACAGGGCAGGCAGGGCTCATGGTCTACAGAGACCCCATTTCTTTGAAACGCATTCTAGCAGCAGCTGCAAGGTGTTTTTTGGCCCTACCAAAGCAAGTGTGAGATCACTGATGGTGACTGAAACGCATGAAACAGCGGGGAACTGATGCAACTTCAGTCCTCTGTTTCTATTTGCATGTCTCCTCAATATGCTGTGGTGAAGTGTATAAACACTGATGCTGGTGGGGAAGGACAAACAACACTTCCCAAACCACTGTTTAGGTACTTCCCTGACAGCCACCCTAAATGCTCTTTCACCTGAACTACGTTGGTTCACAGAGATTTAGTGTTTTGATGGAGTTTTCCCCTGGGAACTTCTGCTCCTGGGTGGACTGGCTGGACCCAGCAAAGTCATTTCAGGTTGAGAGTTTTTCCAACTATTTGAGTTGGTCTAATAAAAGATATTACATCTACCCAAATAACCTTGTCTGCCTATGTCCTTAGACGAACACTGCTACAATCTACACTGGGGTGGGCAAAATGCGGCCCACAGGCCACATATGGCCCGCCAAGCAATTCTATCCGGCCCGTGGGGCCCCTAAAAAATTTAGAAAATTAATATTTATCTGCCTCTGGCTGCCTGTCATGTGGCCTTCGATGGCTTGCCAAAACTCAGTAAGAAGCCCTCCGCCCGAAATAATTGCCCACCCCTGACCTACACCCTAGAAGTGAGGGCACTTGCCTGAGGAAAGATTTGGACCTCATTCTTGCACTGTCCGTGCACATCCACCCTAATCACTGGGCTATTTGGGGGTGGGAGAGGCAGGGTCTTTTGTGCTTTACACACACACACAGGTTCTCCTTTTGTTTCATCCTGCTGCTTTGCGTTTGTGCATTGCTCTCTGAGCAACCCTAGAACTGTGCCCAGCTCATCATCTTGAGAGCAGCACAGATTTCCAGAGCGGTTCATGGGTGACCTGTTTACTTGCTCCATCTCCTTCTCCTACTGGCAGACTGGAGGGGATTGCAGGGGAGCAGCCATCACTGGAGGGGTTGGCCAGATTGACGTAAGCAGCAAGATTAGAAGGGCTAAATCTGTAGAGCTTGGCTCAGCCGCAGCAAAGGGATAGCACGATAACACTGGAAGTATCTGCAGGGTGTTAACACCTCCAGGGAGGCATAGAGGTCTAGATTAACAAAGGCAAGGGTCCTGGCTCAGGAGATGCGAGACTTGGTCCTTTACTCCCTTGGAAGCTAGGGAAAGCACCACAGCATTTCTTGGGTGAAATGGCCCAAGCTATTTTAGAGCAGCAGAGAGAGGGACTTGATGGGTAAGTCAGGTGCAGTCCAGCATAGCTCCACAAGTCACACCTAACAACTGAACCATTCCCAAATGGCCCTGATTGGGAACCCATTCACAGTTGTGTGAAGTGCTGCGACTCCCAACGGGGGCAGGGGGTAAGAGCCAGCATGCCTCTCAGCCAGTGAGTGTGAGAAGTGCTTGCACCTATGCCTTTGGGGGTCCTAGGGGATGGGTGGCCTTGGGTTGGGGGCCTTTTCACTTCTGGGTTCTATTCTCTCCTAAATGTGAGTTCAGTAAACTTGAATAGCCCACAAATGACTGAAGCTTGTAGTGTGCTTCACTGATCTGGGGGGAAAGGGGAAGAATGCTTAGATCCAGGCTGTTGGGTTCCTTGGAGCTGGGGAAGGCACGAGGGACTGGAGTCCAGTAGGGAGTGAGGACACAGCTGGTTGTTAGCGAACAAGCAAGAGAAACAGAGGGATTGGGGTACCAGAGCTGGGTACCACAGCAGACAATTGCCATGGACTGTCAAGGGCAGTGGGGCACCCAAAAGGAGCAATGCAGTATGGGATGGACATGCCTGGAGGACCAACCAGAGCAGTGTCATTCACACCTAACAAGTGAGCCAGTTAAAAAAAATATATTACTTGATTTTCCAGGTGTACTTCTGAACCATTCCTGGTAGCTTTAGCCATTTAAATAGGCTTGTAGGCTGGCCCAGTTCCAGTTTAAACTGTTCTAAGTGGTTGTCCTGTCTGCGCCCTAATGCAAGGGGGGCCAAGCAACCCCCCAGTGGCACAGTGTGTGGCATAGGGAGTCAGGTAGCAGAAAGCAGAGCAGAAGACTAGACAAATGGGATGAGAGTGGCAACAGAGGAAGGGGCAAGGCCATCATGTAGCACACTTGTCAAAGAGGTTGGTCCATGCTGCCCCAACCTATGCTGATTTACATCAACGTAGGGACCGCAAAGGCAGATCCATTTGCATGAAAGGACATGAGTGGTCAGAGGGTTTTGCTCCGTAGAAATAAGGGTGCAGACAGAAGTGCAGCTCCCCACTGTAACTGAAAACCCTTTGTGGGAGTTACAACATCCCCCCCAGACCAAACAGAAACTCACTTCTGGTTCCAGGGGGAGGGGAATCTAGGTGCCAGGCTGCGGGCTGCTTCCCCTAGCAAAGCCCCCCACCCCCAGCCTGTGCTGTGTTCAGAATGGGAGGGGGAAAGGGAGCAGAGGGAGCTCTTCTAAGGGGTCCCCACCTCAGGGGGGCTCCAGTACACCTGTCCCACCCTCCAGGACCAGCTGAAAAAAACCCAGACTGAACTCCCTCTGTTCCCTTTTCCCCTGCTCCATTCTCAAAACTGTGAAAGGCTGGCAGGCTGCACAGACACAAGTTATAGAAGAAGCTCGGTTTTGAAACACTCATGCAATGAGGGGGTGAGATTTCTGATCGGCCATTTTTGAAGCAGTCTGCAACCATACACTTGTGTTTGGTCACGGCTATAGACCACTTTCTGGGGCCAGATCAGGCAAAAATTGCCTGCGTCTAAGTGTCATCTTGCAGCCTTCAGATGTGTGCAACCAAGTCAGCCATGGAAGACTGAGTTGGGGGAGGAAGGGGGGGGTGCAAGAGTGACATGGCTGCGGCATACTCAGAGGGTGGCACAACGCGGCTTCCAATAAGAGTCCCTCCCATCTCTAAACACATTTTCTTTGCAACCCTCCCCTGAAAGGGCAGTGCCCATTCCATTTGGGGATTGGGTTAATGATGTGTAGGGTAAAGTAGCAACAGAATGTGTAGCAGAGCAAGAAACCCAGGTGTTTAGGGCATGTGGCACATGGAAATCCAGAAATAAAAATGCAATACTTCCACTAATAAAGGCATGGAAGCTTATGTTCAACAGAAGACATGCAACAATTTCAGTTATACACCAAGATGTTTTTAATTCATAAGTTATATTTTAAACTATTTTTTCTATTTGATTTTGCAATTTATTGGTAAATAAGATCTTATTAGTGCTAAGAGTTTGCCAGCATTACTCTGACGCCAAAGTGCATTAAGATGAGAAGGGGACAAGACTGAGCCCATCCGAGGCAGGGGCTTGTTCTGCCTATGTTCAGCAATCCAAGGTCAGTAGGATGAGATAAAGTGTCTCAGGATTTCTGATAAGGCTTCAGACCAAATCTCCAACAAGAGCATATGCTCCTCCTTCATGCACAGATGGTCCTGCCCAACACCTGAAGATACCCAGTAGCATAAACTGGATTTTTTTTTCCGGTTCCAGTTAAACCAGCTGAAGCCAAGTGGTTGTGGTACAGCAAGCCACAACATCACCCTGCTTCCCACAGGAGGAGTTGCTCTGCTTCTATTATGGAAGTCCAGCCTAGCTACTGGGAAACTATATCCTCTGTACAGCATGTTCTGGGTCAGCCTGTGCTAGAAGCCAGTTAGATGTAGCATTAGTGTGGTGGGGGAGGGGGGGGGGGGGATTATGAAAAGCAAGACTTCAGGGCCCATTCTGATCTCATACAAGTGTGGAAAGACCAGAGCAGTACATTAGCCTGTTAAATACAAGATGGACCAGCATTCTTGGTGCTGCCTGCCAAGTGGACTCCTCCACCCCTGTCCAGGCTTCCTGCACAACTCACAAAACACTTGCCACTAATACAGAAACAAGACACACTGTACAGCTACATGATAATTCTCTTGTTAAGTTCAGTTCGGTGTGGAAGTAGTCTGAATGAGGAACAGCACCCGACCTGAGTTACAGGGGAGATGCTAGGAGACACTTCCCCATGATGCTCCACCCCAAACTGATTCCGATCAGCAAGTCAGTGCAGCAGGGGTGTTTGCTGCATAGCCCATGGCATCTCCTTCCTCCTCAACAGACTGTTCTTTTCCTTCTAAGAGTGGTAACTTCCACTGGAGTGACACACTGCCACCAAGGCAGACACGGGGCATGTATGGCTCTCTCCTTCCAGTGCAAGTTCAATGCATGTGAAGCTGCTCCATAGCAGTGAGGCTTGAGAGACATGTTCTAGGTGGGAGTACTTTCGTCTGTCCCTTGTACCCTTTGCCGCACTCCTTATAGCATCACACCAGCCTCCGGGACCCATGTTTCAGCCTCTGTCATCCCCTCTTTTCCACAGTCCCAAGAACTTAACCAAGCATAGTCCAAGTCTAGTTACAATACACATTGCACATGGGTGGGTCACTAGGTACCCAGAACTAAATCATAAATAGGGCACTATAAACACTATACCACTTAAAAAACACACAGATCAAGGAAGCAGCTTATACAATACAGAGAGAGGATGGAAGCCAAGGCCCACAGGCAGCTTCAGGAAAGTCCCCACAGATTCAGTCCAACCTGAAAGGCAACTCCATGTTCTTTCACAGAGGAGGCTTTTCAGAGAGCAACATAGCTCCATTAAATGTTAGTTGGGGGAAGAAAAAAGAAAACAAAAACAAAAACAAAAAACAAAAAAACAAACAGATCCCAGTGATGGTGCCCAAGACAAAAGGCACAGACAGCAGCGTTTATTCTGAGCTCAGGGATTTGGCTTGCTGGATGAGATCTTCCGCTTTGAACTGTAGAAATCTATGGGGGAGAAAAAAAAAAGAGCAGACTATTGTATTAATTCCCATTTGATGCAGTTTCAAATCTCAGGTCTCATCAAATAAGTCACCTAGAGAAACATTAGGAGCAACTGTCTGAATTGAAGTCCAGTAAGGGTGAGCAGGAGTCCTGCTTCAAGTCATCAGAAAGATCTCAACCATGTAGAGCAGGATGTCCAGGGTAGGTACAGCTTCATTGGGCGAGAGTGCAGCACTGGGAGCAAGGTCTGGCTCTTAGTTGGAGTATCCTGTGCTGCAGCAATAGGAAATTGAGGGGAATGTGACCTCTTCAATGGGCTGACCCCAGAATCTAAAAGCCATGGTTTTGGCCAGGCAAGACTGACCATCTCCCTGCACACCTACATGACAGGTGTTGTGGGACATTTGGATCGAGGTCACTTTGACCCCTGCTGCAGAAGCCCATCCCAGTATTAGTCCTTTGTGCCACATTAGAGCTGTCCTGTTCTCTTCCCCAACCTCACCAAGAGGTAAAGCAGTAGGGGCATCTCGCCTTCCCATGCCCCCACTCCCACCTTGAAGAAGGGACTGCTCCAGGGGTTTCTAACCCTCTTCCCTTTCTCAGGTACTGCAGGGAGGGACGAGTCATCCCACTGCTTGCCTGAAACCAAGGGGAGTAGGGCCCTCCTGCATTCTCATGCAAGGATGGGGCTGCCTCATGGGAGGGAAGGGAGCTAAGCCTATTTCCTTCAGGAGCCCCCACTGGCTGCTCTTTCCCACAGGGCAGGCAAGTTGATCCAGAGCTGCTGCCCTGCCTGGGGAAGACTCCTGAGCGGTCACAAACCTTGCTCCAGCTCCCGCAACTCAGAAAGTGCGAAATAGGTAACGCTGACTGTGGCCATTGACCCACCCCTTGCAGGATACTCAGTGGGGTACTCTTATTCAAAAATCACAAGCATCACAGTCTTACCTTTAATGGTGGTCTGTCTGCGTTTCAGGCGCCTTGGAGAGCTGGCCCGATTGGCCTCAGAGCCCTGTTGTATGGTTTCACCCGAGAAGGGCCGATTAAGGAGATCTTTTGTGGGAATCTTGAGGGTGGAAGTGCTCCAACTCTTCTCTCCAGAAACTTTGGAGTGGCTGCAGAGGTACTCGGAAGACATGTCTGGGAACAGGACCCTCTCCCACTCAAAGGCACCTTCCAGTGGCGTTTCAGTTTCAAAGTCAAAATTCCACTTGTGCTGGGCTTCTTCCAGGTTTTTCCTCATCGAGTCCTGAAAGTCACTCTGGAGCTGCTCATGATCCACTGGGCCAAAGAGGTTTCTGCAGATCTTCCTGCTGCAGGGGGTCTGCCGGAGGTTGCTTTGTGACAGAGGCATGTTCCCAGCTGAAGGAAAAGGAAGGAGTGCTGTTACAGCAGAAAGCAACATCATGTTACTGTCTCCTTGTTCCAAGGGGCTGGGGGCTGCCTCAAGCTCCCCGTGCTTGGCTACCTGCTAATATAATCCATAGGAGAGTACCTGGTCCACGTGAAGGCCAAGTCTCCCAGAAGCAAGAGGTACTCTTGGTGCTCACCTGGGAGAATGCTAAAGGTCTTGGATGCAAGCCCCGTTTTCAGACAAGCGTAGTCAGTTAGACCAACACGGAGTTATTTGCCAGAAGGGTGGCATGAGCCATTCTCATCAGCCATCCCTGCCTTATTCCAACAGGAGGGATGGAGTTGCCCCCATCCCAGCCAGTGGAAGGGGCCTGGGAATTAAGTCTCATGGACTGGCTGAGCAATGATTGAACACACCACAAAGCTTCCAGCCTCCCTCAAAATTGAGATCATAAAAATCCAAAATTGAATCTGAAAATTCATACAAGACTCTTGTCAGCAGATGAGGCAACAGGAAACTTTAGCAGGATTTCTTAAACTCAACAACCAGACCTCAGTGGCAAGGAAGCTTTGAAGCAAGCTGCAAGCTTTTCCACGTTGTTAACCTATTTATCTGTAATAAGCTGTTGGGCAACTACTGACAAGACCTCCATATGCAGATAGTGGCAATGAGGAACCAGCCTTATAATCCAGAAACAGGACCTGGACTTCAAGGGAAGTCAAAGCAGCAGCTCTGCCACAGGGGTATAATTTTCCCCTTTCCCTTCGTATGGGCATGCATGGGGTTAATGGCCTCCCTTTGCAGCCTGTAGGTGCTTGAGGAGACTCCTTTACCTGAGGGCAAGAATTATCTGTACATACAGCATCTGGCACAGCAAGACCTTGAGATTATTCCCATAGGCTTGATGGAAAGGTGTGCCAAGTATTTGGTTACACCAGGGGCAGGCATTTATTTTGGAGGGAGGGCAGCTTACTGAGTTTTGGCAAGCCATTGAAAGCTGCATGACAGGCAGCCCAGGGCAGATTAATGTTAATTTTCCAAGTTTTTTTTAGGGGCCCTGCAGGCTGGATAGAGTGGCCTGGTGGGCTGCATCCAGCCCCCAGGCCACATTTTGCCCACCCCTGGGTTATATGCATTACTTACCATGGGAATCAGACATGCTAAAGAACACGTACCAAGTACGTATCCATGACCAGAAAGAGCTCAAGTCAAATATCTAAACAAAAGAGGCCTGTGGTCAACTCTGCAATCCTTACACCCCCCGTCACAAAGGAGCCACAAGCTTCCCACATTATTCAATCCCAAGTACCCTGGGAGTTTACAAAGGCCCACGTCCAAAGGCCACATCCAGCTCGCACATCTTCACCCTCGACCATTAGTGGTCCGATTGCCAATAGGGTATTGATCCAACCTATCCTGTTCCTGCCTTTCAGCCCCAACCAGAGAAGTTCAGGTTAAAAATAGAACTGAAACTTCATATCTCCTGGCCACTCACACCCTTGTGAACAGCTTCAGGGAATGACATCATGGTGAGTCAGGCAAGTTTCAGCATGTCCAAACAAGCACTGGCAGGTAACTAGGGCTCAGGACAAGTTTGAACTTGATGCTTATAAAAGCAAACAAGATTCCTCCTCCCCTCCAGACACGCAGAACCGAGCCATACAAGTGCCCGATCCCCAGGTGCCGAACGCTGTGTACCTCCCACTGATTTCGACACTAGTGGTAGCTCCTCAGGTGGCTATCTGGCACAACTAGATGTTTAGAGACTCGATGCTTTGTCTTTCCAACACCATCACATGACGGCGGAAGCTACCGAGCACTAAGGACACCGAGCTGGATACTCTTCAGTATTAGAATGAGGACATTTAAGTTTCCTTCCTTTTGTCGGACAAGCCTGCAGCTGACGCACGCAATCAGCTGGCCCCAAGGAAGCGCACAGACCCAAATCTGGTGCACTTCTCTTAAGAAAACCAGCCAAGCATATGACCAGCTCTGCTCACTATGAGCACTGGCAGGGAATAGTCCTGTTCCTACACTTAGCAAGATTTCAGCAGGACAAGAGGGGCATGCCCCATTCAGGTCAAAAGCAAGCCAGCTCGGTGATCTTCGGCAGTCATCCCCGCTCCCCCAATCCTCACCACCCGTCCCTCTGGGCAGCCTCTTCTCTCCCTTGCACCAAGCCGGGAAGGAAGGCAGAGTCCTGGCCCGCGCCAGCAAAGCCCACCGCAGCGAGGAGACCGCAAGGAAGCTTTGCGGCTCATCCGGCCGTGTCTCCTTAGCCTAGGACACCCTGGTCATGCAAGCCTGCCACTTCCAGGCAAGGTGTGCATGGGAGGTGGCAGCTTTACATTCATGAGTCAGTCCGTAGCCCGTGATCTTTGCAGATAGAGGAGGTTCATGGGGCAGCCAGGGCAGGGCAGGGAGCAGAAAGCAGAGCAGCAGGGGAGAGGGGATCAGAGCAGCATTTGGGGAAGGCCAGGGCTAGTTTTTTGGGTTTTTTTTTTTAAACCAGGAAGGTCCCCCCCTAACCCAAACCCAAACCCAAACCCAAACCCAAACCACCGCTTCGCGGCCACTTCAGTGCGGCTCCTCGCCCAGCAGGTGGAGCCCGTGCTCAACCCGCGCTCTCACGACGTCATCCGCGGGGCTCCTCTGCCGTCACCTGCCCCGCGGGGTGATGTCACTGGGGGCCCCGCGGAATCAGGCCCGCGGCCAGGGGCGTCAGCCCGACATCACAGCGGAGCCCTGCGTCACCACACAAGCGGAG